ATAATAGTATTAATAAAAATAACTGATTCAACGCTTGTTTGAGTTGGAAAGTAAAAGTATTGTTTTGGTTCTAACAACGATTCCAGAATAATTCAAAACAACTGATCATGTCATTAATAAGAACGGTTATTGAGGGTACAGCCACATATCTAAGTACATCTAAGCATCTGTTTAGGATAATTTTGGGACTGATCAAGGTCAAGACCAAAACAAATCTAATATTTTTCCTGGCCATTCTGTTTACCACATACTACTCTATTAAATAACTGCATTTTACGACGATGTTAGCTATTTGGTAGGTTATATCTTCATTTAACGTACGATTAGTTGTCCCCTAGTCTATAATTTGCAGCTTAACAGATTCTAATAATACTGTCAGTTGTACATTATTATTAATAGTTGCTTAATCAGTTACGTGGGCAACTTCTATATTCCCAAACCGCTGAGAGATGTATTTTAAGTTGAATCAACTTTATCATGCTCTAGTAAATCTATTAAATAGTTACCATTAACGGTCTCATTATTGATCAATAAATATTTGCAGAAATAAATGTTTCTTTGAAATTTAATTAGATATAAATAATATAATGGAACGTGTAACAGCTTGCGGTTTACAATACCGAGCGAGTTATCATTTATTTGTTATTATTTTTTCCTGAATCACGTTCCTTAGAGAAGACGTGACAAATGTTCTTATACCAGTAATGTGGTATAAATTCGTTGCTTTTTTGATATTTCGTTGTAAAATCATTTTAGACACAGGCATACAATACTACAATAACTACTGTGAATAAAGTTCAAAAACATTCAGTGCTAGACTACAATATCATTAATAGCTTTGAAGTTGTCTTTAACATATCGTGATGTTGGTGTCAAAGAGTATATATGGCTTCACCAGATGAGAATTGTAGTAATAACATTTTGTTAGATTTAATTTGAATTGGCTTTGTACGTTTCAAAGTTAAATTGGAAGCAAAAAAGGCAGATATCAAAAAAATATTGTTAAAAAAGAATTATCAAACAAAAATTATAGAGAGACAAATCTTCAGACATAAGATGTGTGCTAAATAAGAGGAGCAAAGGAGACATGTATTAGATTTTTTTGATGTCTTATACAGGGTGTCCCATTAATATTGCGAAAAAATTCAGGGGGAGTTTCCTTGACCAAAATTAAGAAGGAAAGTTCCTGTCCTGTGTGTCCTGTCCTCCTGAAAGGTGTTGAAATTTAGAGAAAATACAAGGTTTTTACTAATATCTGGAGTACCCAAATACCGATTTTTTTGAAATTTGGTATGCTTGTTTATAAAAACGGTAGACGTCTTCTGAAGTAATTTGATATATTTTATCTATTCCATCTATCACTTCTGTTGATATTAATAAGTAAACATATGAGACGTCACTGCTTTTTCTTAGGTGTCATATTTTTTTCTAATTATGCGATTAAAAATACAACTTTTTTGTCTCTACTTTTTTTGATATCTTGCTTCGTTTTCGAGCAAAAAATTAATAGCTTAAGTGTGTGATTTTAATAAGTACTTGAACTGTGTAGTTGTCAATTCCTGCTTGTCGAAATGAATTACACAAATAGTGAAAGGTGCGATATGCATTTTCTTTACTTTGTTGTACTTATTAATATCAACAGGAGTGAGTCTCCGAACGCCGCTTGAATAGATAAAATAAATTAAATTACGTCAGAAGACGTCTACCGTTTTTATAAACAAACATACCAAATTTCAAGAAAATCGGAATTAGAGTTCTCCAGATATTAAAACCTTGTATTTTCTCTAAATTTCAACACCCTGTATCTCCGAAACGAAGCATTTTCGGACATAGGTTTATAGGAACTTTCTTCCTTATTTTTGGTCAAGGAAACTCTCCCTGAATTTTTTCGCAATATTAATGGGACACAATTGTATAACTGTGTTGATTTCTGTGAAATGTGGACCTCATTCCAAGTACCCATTAATAAGAAACTTTGAACCTTAGAAGTTCCACTTACAAAACGAAAGAAAAAAGCGATTCACAGCGAGATACAAGTAGGAAGCTTAAAACAATGCCGGAGTCGGCACAAAGGATCTTAAAACTCCCAACAGTTCCCGGAACAAAGCGGTGACATCGTTTTCCGAACATTAACAAGCGGGACCGTAATTCTCGGAATCAAATAGAGCACCACACAGTGCAGCTAATGCATCGAGCCGTTGCATCCGTCTCTTTCGGATCGATAGTAAAGCGTAAAATAGTATTATTTGTAACATTGAACGTGTAGTACGCGGCACCGAGCGAACCCATAAATTATACAGCCGGGAAGAACAAGGGAGAAGGACATCTTCCCGCATATCGTAAAACGCCCCGGACTCGATTCATGGACTAGGGCTGCCTGGATCGATCTTGAATTCACTAGCTGGCGCGGGGTCAGTAGGTCGCGGTCCAAACATTGCCCTCCATTCACACTTTTCCCTGGAGGAAAGTTCAGCATTCCAAAAGAATGTCGTCTCGTTTATTTCGCAACGTTGCACCGGCCTATAGTAATAATTACATGCAAAAATGCAAAAATCTTCCAAGTGGTTACTTATCTGACGTGTATTTGGTCACAGAACTCTTATTGCTAAGCTGTTTATGTTTATTACAAACTGCCTTCAGGCTGGTTCTATTTTAATTAAAGGCAAAGCTTCTCTTGTCAGTTATAACAGATTCTTTAAATATTCCCAGGATAAATATCAACTTCAAAAATCTCTCTCTGCCAGCAGGTTGAAGGTAATTCTTTGTATTGACGTTATTAGTGACAGTGATGAGTGAGAGACTGTAACACACTTTGTTGATTATATCTCACCCACAATGTTATTCATATGTGACATGGTAAAGAGAGTACGCTAGTTTTTTTTCATAGCTAGATTCCCTTTACACCCAAAGATATCTTTATATGTTTTGTGAAGATCATTCATGTATTTAAAATTTATTTTTCGAAATAAGTACGTCCTTTAAAATCCAGTCACAATCAATTAATATCCCTGCTGAACTGATAACTCGACTTATAATTAGAAAAGAATAAAGTGTTCCCATTTTGAGACGTAGATTAATGATGCATTCAAAACACTGATCCCTACAAATCTCTGTCCTTTTATCTAAGCGGATAAGTGGATAATCAAACCTCAACGCTAACTTCTGTAAACGAATGTAAACAATCATACGTGAAATTTGCTGTAATTAATTAATAGTTTTCAACTGAAATCTTTCATACTTCATATGACATACCAATTCATGTTCGCTAAATTAAGGAAAACTAAATTTATATGTACCTAATCGAAAACAATCTGGAGATTGTGACGAGTAAACATACGTAAAATAAAGTTCAATGCTCCATTTTCCCAGAACTCTTATGTATACAGATATATTTTTTAATTATCCTATGTAGAACGATTTGGAAATGTTTTAATATCACTTAATTTTATTATACTGTTTACTGACATTTATTACGACCGGAGTTATGATTCAGTCATTTACGCGGCTATTATAAGCGCTATGTGAAGCACTGAGGGTCTTTGAGAATACTTCTGCTCATTGAAACGAACGTGGACTGGCGTTTCAGAGAGTACTGAAAGGGGAAGTCTTAAAATGTTCTATAGACCACGAGCGGTATATGAAAAGGCCATTCGTCCGTCCGATATCCTTTGGAAGTATCATACATGTTTTATTCTAGTTGGAAAACGCGAATGACACTTATTTGACATACATGTTCATTCGTTCCACAAAAAAGAATAGCATGTGATATTTTGCTTTAGATGGATATTAATTATATGAAAGTAATGAGCTCCACTTTCAAGCTTGTTCTAATAATGAGGTTATTTGGATGCTTTGAAAGGGCTGGGAAGCTTCAACAACAGTCCTACAGGGTGAAGATGGAGGTCCAAAAATGGTGACGAGAAACCCTTGTATAGAGGGCAAGGAAAAAGATCTTAAAAGGACATTCAAGGAGTTAATGATGGATTTAAAGGATACTTTAGACATTCAAGTAATAGGAATCTCGTAGATGACAGCCTCTGTAGGTTTTACCAGGAGGAAGAGAAGACTGCAGCTAAACCTTGCAGGTCTAGCAAGAGTATGCTATCTATAGTTTGGAAAAGAAAATTCGAAAGCTGGAAGCTATATGGCGGAGCACTATTAGAAATCTAAAGTTGGATGGAAGGAATTTGAGAACCACGAACAAAGAACAATAGACATACACATGATAGGAGTGGAAAAAAATGCTATATCCAGTCGCCTATTTACTATACAGGGTGTAACTAAATAAGTGTAAAACATTTAAGGGGGTGATTCCTCATCGAAAAAAAGATAGGATCTTTCATATAAAGAAACTTCATTGGAGCATCCCTTGTTAAGATGCAGCCCCCTTGGTTTATTTTGGGCAAAAAATTCAAGACATTTTTTTTTTAGTATGAAACAGTCCATCGGAAATAAACTTTTAAATGGTAAACAAATAATAAGACAAAAAGTTACGTTGGAAATAAATTTTAGGGGTTGCGTTTTCCACCCCTTACATCCATGGGGTAAACCAAATAAATTACTGGCTAAGTGTCTTTTTGGTAGTAGAAAATGTCAGGTTAATTTCAATATTGTAACTTGTTTAGTGCTTGTGAAAAAAATTGTTAAACAAATTTTATGTACCCCCTTTAAGGGGCTGTACCTTAACAAGGGATGCTCCAATGAAGTTTGTTTATATGAAAGATCCTATATTTTTTTCGATGAGGATTCACCCCCTTAAATGTTTTACACTTATTTAGTTACACCCTGTATTTACTATTAAAATTTTGTTTCAATGATATTTAAACCATATTTACGTGAATTTACTCTTCAAAATGTATTCATGGCACCAAGGATAGTTTATATTTAACAATAATTTGTATTTTGGATTCATAGAACTGAGGTTAATTTATTTAAAAGAATGTACCTTTTAAGATTCCCTGCAATTCTCCAAACATTGTATAATATTTCTTTTTTTCCAGAATAACGTAGTCAAGGTGTTGTGCCGATGATTTCTGCCGGAGTGGAGGGAAGACTGCCCTACATGACCTACCCAGAGCCTTGGAGAGGCCCCCCGAAACAGCCACCTGAGCTGTTTCTTAGGCCCGCTCCAAAGCCTCTACCAACCACCAGGTACGTTGACAATCCTATAAAAATTTAACCGAATACTACTTTTATCAATCAATTGTATGGAAAAGTTTAGTTCTTTTGAGTAATTTTTTCAAAGTAAGTTTTCATTGGGTCTTTGACCATTTAATTGATCGTAAAATATATAAATATTATATCAATACTGAGATAACCAGACACTTATCAATTTTTTTATGTCACTGATAAATTCGTGGAAGTACTTTCTAAATTTAACTGAAATCTAAACGACTAATGTAAAAAAATACAATCGGTACAACCACGCATGTAAATAAATCTCTAAGTTAACAAGATGTATAGTTATTGTTTTATTTTGTATCAGATACTTCGATTCAAAAGCAACAGACGTTCCAACAGTATTTCTACATTGCAGCAGATACAATGGTGTAAACACCACCACATACCCCAACGGCACTAGGCTGGCCCCTCCAACACGTCCCATCAGCAAGTACCCATCGCCTCCATCGATAACAAATCCCGTAAATCTCGCGCAAACCAAGGAAGACGTAACGGAAGACATCCCACATTTCAGTCCCTACCGAATGTTTCCACCACACGCACCTCAGTTCACGCACTTCCCGTACCCCTTGTGCCAACAGCCGTACATGATGAGAGCCACAAACTTCCCCCCGACACCCCTATCCCCCTTGGAAACCTTCTCGCCGTCGACGCCAACCGCGAGCAGTACGTCGACCTTCCTCTCCCCACCAAGCACCTTTAGTCCTCCCTCCGCTGTAAAACCAGGACAGAGCATACTGAGGGACAAAAGGACACCGCCCCAATCCTCACAGTCCTCACCCCTCCCTCCCTTACCTCCCTTACCTCAGACCCAAGCCGCTGCGTTCAAAGTCCCTTCTGGAAAGGAAGGTTCCTTGAAACACCGAATCCTCATCAGGCCTGAGGAGAACGTGAGGAGCGGGCCACTAGACTTACAAAAACCCCCGGAGGGCAGGAAGAGACTCCAAGCCACTTTGTCTCCTCCGAGATCGCCGAAAAGGACGTTGAACAACAACACTCTAACGGGTAACTTTGCCAAAGGATCTCTCATTCAGTTGCATAACGGAGAATTGAGGAAGATAGAGGACATGCGCACTGAGGATTTCGTAATGTCCGCAGAGAGGAGTCCCGAACTAAGACTGGCTGAAAGCACTGTGGTGAAGATCGAAGACAACCAGCAGATGGGGAACGCTACTATTACGCTTACGTACAATCAAAGACGGGCACAGGTAAGAACCCATACTGTGAGGATCATCTCAGATGATGAGATGTCTGACGTATTTATATACTTGTTAATTGCTATTGGAAAATCTTTTCACACTGACGCTGATGTTGATCAGCGCTCAACAATATGCCAATTCAGTAGATTTTTTGCATATTCCAAAAGTTTACCCTTTAATTAGTTAGTATGCCAAAAATCAAGTTTTTGTTTCAACGAGAAATGTGTGAAATAAATTAATGAAAACAGGGCGCAGAAAAACATTGAGCAACCATTGCCTGACGTCATAATACCGGTACGGGCGACTGGCAGAGCACTCCGCTCGCGCTCGCGCTCGCTCTCATCCCATTTTGTGTTAATACATACGGTGTGTGGTTCGCTTGGCAGTTTCGTTAATCATTGTTTTTATGTCTAAATGGGTCGAAACTGAGGATTGTACAAATATTGTATAGTTCCATGCTGCAAAAGTACCTCAGGATCGACTCCGAATAAAATATTTATTTCATTACCGAAAAATGAAAAGTTTGTGTGATATTATCCACAGTTTCCAAATCAAAACCACCTTCGTTTTTCTTTGGTTGCACATCTAGGGGGTTGTAAAATATTATTATTTGAACATTTAGAGCACAATTTTCAACTTTATGCCGGAAAAAAATTCTACCCCATCTAAATGTTCGTGTTCACAAAAAAATCGAAATACGTCGGCGAGAACCACTCTCGTTTTTCTTTGGTTGCCCGTTTAGGGAGTTGTATATATTATTATTTGAACATTTAGAGCAGAAGTTTTCAAATTTATGTCGAAAAAAAAAATTCTACCCCATCTAAACGTTCCTGTCCACAAAAATTTCGAAATACGTGGCGAGAGGGACCTATAAGCAATTTATTTAAATAATAATATTTTACAACCCCCTAGACGGGCAACCAAAGAAAAACGAGGGTGGTTCTGAGTTGCTTCAAATACTAGTCAAAGTACTACTGACACATACACGTCGTCGCATACATCCACAAGTACCGAGTCTAGTACGTTGGGTACATTTGTATAAAAATAGAACGCAAAAGAAAATGTAGAAAAGCGAACCATTTACGAAATTGAGAAAAATCCGAAAATGTATTTAGGTATTCCAACTCATTCTATGTTTATAATAAATATGTTATGTGAAAAACGCATTTCAACAAGACTTGATGTATATCTGTTATACACTCTCTATTTATACACTTGAAAATATAGGTATATAATATAGGTAAAAGTATAGCAAATATCTACACATCTCTCCGACTGCTCGAGATTTGATCGCCGAGTGGCCGGTATCGTGACGTCATTACCTGTTCTCCCGCAGTGTTGACCTTTTTAAGGGTCTTACAAATTCAGAATTAAATATATCACTTATTGTTAATCCTGTTGACCTAATTTTTTTTTAAGATATATTTAGGTGGTTAAATACTATCAGAAAACGAAAGAAAAAGTTTAAAATTATATATCACTGAATGGGCCTATTGGCATTATTTAAATGGCAGTTTCAGGGTCATCCCCCAACGAAGTTTTTCTTAAACCATTATCACTTGGAACGTTCTATTAGTCCTCCAATCACTCACATACTTTATTTAAACATTTACAGCGAAATCGACTCTTTGTGATCGTCATATCTAAAAGAAGAAATTTTTTGAAAGTTCAAACGTTCATACCTGTTGAGGATCTCGATACAATTTATAACGGAAAGCCGTAGGTTTAGTTTTATAGAACCAAACTCGGGTTTATAATACAATAGGTACACTTTTTGCCAGCGAATCCGGTAAACAAGTCCAATGAACCCATTCAGTGGGTTTTAATACATCAACTGAGAAATAACTAAAAAGAGAACAGGAACGAGCTCGGAAGAAAGTAAAGGTCACTGATCTTACTCCTGCGTGTAAATTTCTGTATTCAAAACACGCGGGGGAGCCTCGATATGGACCACGTATTATCTCAACAAGTTTGAAAAATTAAACGACCTAACGTTTTTGCTATATATTAATCACTCTTTAACCCACGCCGAAATGTATAATAAGCGATCGATAGTCTTAACGAGGTTAGATTTATTACGCAAATAACTAAAGCTTAATATTTTTTGGTTTTTATTTGGGGATAAATATCCTAATTAAATGTAATATAGAAATTGCTACAAACCCTCAGTATTTATTTATTTCTTAAAAATAAATAAAACTACAAAAGAAGGAGTAATATTTTTGCCCAAAACTATTACTAAGGGTTTTACCAACCTTTCGAGACCTTTCTGGATATGATACATATTTTTGCGCAATTACTCAAGATCCATCGAACTCCAAAGTTGTTAAAATTCCTTGGTTTTTAAGATAATATACTAATTCCATCGTTACTGGGTTTTGTTTAATTTTTAAACTGGGTATATAGTTACTATAAGGGAACTCAATCTGATGACTATTAGTTCAATGGTTTTAGAATAATTGACCAAAAATGGTGTTTCCATTCCAATTTTCGTAGAACCTTAGGAATCGTTTTCAGGAAAACCTTACTCTTATTTTATGTTTGTTTTAGCGAAATCAGTAAATCCTCAGAGCAACGTCTTTGTTATAGCCATATAAAAATTGTATCTTAGTTAAAAATAAATTATCTACTTAGTTGGTCTATTTCAATGGAGGAAATTTTCCAAACAAGATACTTGCGGCTTCGAAACAATCGCGCGGAAAATTTGCTACTTTATTTCAGAAAATGATAATTATATAAACTGGCACCAATTTCATTTGGAAGTTGAGAACGCCATAAATTTTTTACTCAGAACCTGCATGTGGACAAAACGGTTTACTTTCGACGTGTCGATAAAGAAAATAAAATATCTTTTGAAAACCGCATCTCTCTTTTAAAACTGCATTAATCTTATCCCGACTACGTCGAAATTCACACTTTCTCGAAAGAATGTGATTTCATCAGCAGCCCACTAAATAATTCCGAGAACTTGGTTTATAGCAGTTGCCGAATTGGAGGGGATATTTATGACAATGAAGTAATTTCGTCGTGCTAGCCAGCATAGCTTGGTAAACAGAAAGTTGTTTTGAGAAGCAATCACAAGAGATCTCTGATGGTCAGCGACCTTGCCATACCTTGCCTCTGGCGGTAATTCAAAACCCGATCCCACTCGAACTATTCAACTTTCATAATTATTAGCTTTTAGATTATTACGACTAGCTACGTAGGCATGACATATTTTATGGTTTCAGAAAAGTTGTAGGTATACTCTGACGTCAGCAGGACAGATAATCCTTTTCGTAATCTTAGGAAAAATATGTCAAACATTGATGTTACCATCTCTAAATCCATAATTCTTAAAAATCGAGATCTTATGTCGATAAAGTACCTCTAATTTTATTTTTCTTCCATTGAAATTTCTTGCTTCATATACGCACTGCCAACCTTTTCAATAAGAGTTAGATAAGTTTGAGAAGCATGATATAATGAAGTTAGTATTGATCTAAAGGAAATATCACGTGACATACAAAATTGAAGCGATCTTAAGAATGCCCTCGTTTAAGGAAAATAAAAAGAACCAAGCAACAGACCTCAAATATAGATCTTCCTATACAATAATGACATATACAAAAAATTACCACCGAAATCGATAGTATATATTATTGATGGTAATTGTTTATAAATCTAGAATGTTAATGACGTTTTCCTAATAGCGAACCTTAATATGTTATTGAATTTATTCCAACATAATGTTCTAAACGTCTATAGTTTTCATAATATTCACGGTTAATAACATCGTGCAGGCCATTGACTAATTTGATTAATAGTCATTTACCAGGACCGTAGTTCTTGTTAACAGATAACGGCTTTTTACTTCAATTCATTGTAGGGAAAAACCGTTTTGGTTTTGTTGACGTAATAAATATTCTCGTTCCGCGTGCAAAAAGGTACCACACTCCCAATTATGATAAATTGTGAACACTAGGCTGTTGTGAAATCGTAGTATGCATAGAATTTCTGATAATTTAGTCAATATTGTAATAGAAAATAATTGCTCTTTAACTTCCTGTTATAGTTTAGAAATGAAAGAAGGGAATACTAGGTGTTCAATAGTAGTACAAATGATCTTAAAGTGATTGTATTTGTGGCTTATGGTGCAGAATATCCGAAGTAAATTCAAAGATATAAAGATGAAACCAACTCTTAAATATGTAATTTATCCAATTTTTGAAATGTGATAGAAGAAAAATAAAATCCTCATGGAAATATACATTTACAAAACATTACATAAATCCTGCAAACGTGCCTCATTAATTTTTATTTCAGCAAACAAGAGTAGGGAGATGTTTATTAGGCGACCAACATATAATTTTATAGCTGGAATAGATAAGCCAAAAGTTGTGCAATCAGTAAGTGAGTCGAACAAAACCAATTACGAAATATAAATAAAGGTCGTGGAATAAAGTTAGAAATACAGCTGAAAATCCTGGAAGAACAACATTTCCTGTCAATCATCTTTGGAGAGGAGTACTTCTAATCATAACGCTCCCACCCTAGAGTGCGTCATATGAAAACCCGTCTTAAAAAACGAGCACTTCCTCGACAGAAGCATATCGATAAAGTTATGAGGTCGTTCGTCAGCGAGCGCTAATGAATAGAACTGTGTCATCATAATATGCTTTCCAAGTCATCTCCAGGCACCAGCAGCAAGCAGTAAGTGATTAAAGAGAAATTCACCTCGGCGCCAGTACTAAAGAAAGAATCTTACACAACAGCGTACCCACGTCTGCAGAGCGCGCAAGATACCGAAGAGTAGGCCTGGGCCGTTCAAGGACACCAGGTCCCGGAACCGAGCGCCCCTCCTCTTTTAGTGAGTACTACGAGAAATTGTACGGGTAACATTCCACTACTACCAGATTTATAATACAACAACGTACCTACCTGATCAAAGAACTCGTCTGGTGGCTGCTAGAGAACGAGCTTTTGTCTCTCCTTCACGTTCCTTCTCGAAGAACCTGGGCGCGATGTGTCGGTGTGTCTTACGTCGTTGTCCTGTTGCGACCGAATGCATCATTTTGGAAGACGGATGCTGCCGCAAATGTGACATTTGTTGTGGCACTAGCTATTCAGCACTCTGTATTAATGTTGTCAGAAACAAAGATCCCTATGACAAGGAAATTTAGATTTAGCTTAATAATAAAAATTCTGTAATGAAATTCAAAATGATTAGATGAGTAGCTTATAAAAACAAGCTTAAAAAATGCCTGTGGTTGCTAATATTATTTTACGAAGAAGATATCTTTAAAACATGTGGCCTAAAACACTTAGTTTTAAATGTACAAATGTATTTTTTCAAAATTTGATAACAGAGTTGAAATTTCAAAGTTTTTTACCCAAAAATAGATTTTAGTGTCATGGCACTGACTTGCATCTTACTAATGGCAATGGGTTTGAAGCTAGTCTAACATTTAGAAATTTTCTTTGCATTTTGTTAGTACACTGTGTATAGCTTTAGCGAGTATGTGGTAAGTGAAAACATGTTTCCGAATGTATCGATATGCGGCATCCAGACGATGCGGCATTTGTTGTTTACTTGACAAATATTTGGCAAGTGTTCAAATCGTCTGGAGCCAGCTTTATACGTTGCTCAATGTAGGAAACCACTTAAATGGTAATGTGCAATGTGTACAAACAAATCACAAATAATCAAAATTAAACAATCAAAAACAAAATGTTATTTCCTGTTGTATAACAAATAGAGACTTTAAATAACGTCTAGAGACAACCAACCAGCTATGATTTGAGACCCCATACTTGCGCGTTTTTGTTGATTTTTAATAAAAAAAATTAAACTCGTACAGAGCGGACAAAAAATTGAAAGAATTTCTTTCCCAAGGAAAGAAATAAACAAAATTTGATAACACCTATTTTATATCAGCAAATTCAACTTTTTTTGCCGTATTGTTATTATTAATTAATAAAATGGTTTTAATAAAGTGGTTTTAATTAATAAAATAATTTGACATACAGCAACTCTTCAAAATTTTGTCCACCGTCTTACCCAGTTTCTGTGAACTAACACAAATGTTGTCTTGCTTCACCATAACGCAAATGCTTCACATAACACAAACGTTGTCTCGTTTCACCATAAATTAAAACTAAAACCATCAACTTCTCGTTGCTGTACAAGAAAGCCATTTTTGACACTTGAAAAACTAATGTAAACACTATCGCAAAAACGTTAATACTAAAATCGCATTAGGGTATTCGGAATCGCGGGGTCACGTGAAGAGAGACAACCCTGTATATCAAATAAATCATATCTAAATTATCTATTTAGGTAAATACGTACCTACCTATTTCGTGTACGTGGATCCACATAATGAGAATAATTTATCTCCTTCAAAAAAGGTATTTTGTTCCAATGACTTTACGTATCGTTGTTACAAAAGGAACGAACGTAAACAAAATGAGCAAATACGAGCATCAGAGTTCAAGTCAAAGAACCGAGCGGATACTACGTGCGTACGATTCATGAAAATTATATTGGACGCACAAGTCTGGAGATAAAATCATACACAGTCACAATAAAAAATGGGTAGGCATAAAGAAATAAACAATAAGATATCTATTTAAAGATCATGTTAATGGCAGGTCGTATACATAGGATGTTTTCCACGATATTTTTTACAAATAATTTTCGAACGTGGCCCGTTGCCAGAAAAAATATTACGATAATACTACTGGCAAAAGTTTACTTTTCCTTCTATAATTAGCCAGCCATTCTAAATTTTTACTATCTCATTTAAGCAGACGAAACAAAAACTAAAAGTTATTTACTACTAGTCACCTTTCTACGCACGATTAGAGAAATGTTTGTTATTTAATATAGGTACTTGGTGGTATCTGCTTCAGTTTTAGTACTGTTCTAAATTTGGAGATGACATCATTTCTCAGCCCGTAATTAAGATACGGTGTTTAAATAAACACAGCTGCGGTTCAGCTTCTAAGAAAGAATACAGTTTTTAATGTTTGTACAAAAGCATCCCTCTGCAAATAGCAGATATCTAAATTTTTTACACTATAGTTGACCTCAGTCATTGTACTATCTGCTTTATAATTATTTTGACTCGTTGCTGAAAGATACTATTGCATATCATGGTTTATCATAAGAATTTAATATTTAAGTATTTACATAGTTCTGTAGTGAATTCTGTAGTGATTCTGGTGATAGAGAGGTTATTTTCCAAATTCACTAGTAACTTTCCAGCAAATGATGCATTTCCAGTAAATGATACTCAACCTCCTTTATATCGCGCTTAAACTTACTGAAACTGCTGTAAATTGAAATTAAACAATCAACTGAAATCAACTTTACATATTAATCTTCAAGAAATTAATTTTTGCCACTTTTCAGGTTGAAGTCGAGTCAACACTGGAACATCCCTACTTTGTAATGGGTCACGGATGGGCATCCTGCAACCCGGACCGAACACAACAGTGTTACGGTTTGAAAGTCCACCGACTCCAAGTTGGCGACGTCCTTATATCCCTAACACCAAGGGAGCCAGTACCCTGTCCATCCTCTAAAGCTGGAACAACCATCATGACAACAGCAACAACCACCTCAATGACTGCAAGGCAGGTCAACACATCGTCCAGAACTCATATAGTTGAACCAGCGATCAGTCAGGCCCAACCAATAAATTTACACCTTACACCGCCGAAACCACCTCAGTCTATGTCGCCCGACAGTATAGCGGCGAGGAAGAGGCGGTGGTCAGCTCCAGATCAAATCTGTGATGAAGAGGAACAGAACAATACGAGAAGGCATCGAGTAGAATGATATATTTTTGTACTAAGGAAGGAAGATAAATGTGAATAATTGTACGAACTTATTAACTAATTGAAACTTGTAGATATGTTGCTGTAAAAAGGTCTAAAAGTTATCAACTGTTGCTTTTTAAAAATTGATATTACCGCCTTGTTGATGGGTTTCGGACTGTTGATGTGTCAGGTCTTCAAGTGGAGAACTGTTTCGTACTAGAAAAACCCGATACTGTTTCAAAATATCGCTGAGCATTCTGATACGGTATCGCCGGATTGTGTATATTTGTATATATTAAAAACGTACGCGCGTTCATCTTTCCGAACCCCATTTAAATTGTTTCTGTGCTGTACTCAAATGCTAGTGCAATGAGAGGAAATGTTGGAATGTAGATTAGATTTATTTTTCATGACAATATCGATAGGGCAAGATGCATTAAAAACGATAGTAAATGTGCTAATTTCAAGAGAACTGGAGTATTATAAAGAGTGATATAATTATTAACATGAACAATTTATTTAGTGATGGTTTTGTTATATGTTTTTAGGGGAGTACGGTGGATAATTATACCACCAATCGATCTCAAAGAGAGTCGTGTGATATAGGACTGCTTTTAATGTTCACAAAGATCTGTATTTTATTTACCTATCAATTTTTCATATATTAATGCACGAACTGATCGAGAACCACTTGCATCAAAGTGCTATTCTGGAGACCTAACCTCAATATTTGTCGCATATTGCTACTCAGAATAAAACAGAAGCAAAAGTCTATTCCGAAACATTCATAAATAAATAATTACGTTTACCTTCTATCTTCAAACTAGTAGCCAAGTCATATAGTTATTTAAAATTTAGACTCGAAATTCAGATGAAACCAGAAATTCTAAAATATTATCGATAAAAGAATAACAATAATGGTAGACACTTCTTTCTCATGTCTTTGCAGAACCAGTTAGGAATGAAAGTAAGAAATATGAGCAAATTTTGAGATTATGTTCTTACATTCCTTAAATTTTTATGAATAAATATTGAAGCTCTAAGTTTGATGCAAGTGTTCTTAAAAATTTATTAGAGATAGTTTGTTACTTATATTGTAAATCCTTAATAGAGTATTGGAAACGGTCATCTTGGAACTAAGGTGATTGTAACTACTTTGCTTTTTAATGTTGTTTATATTATTTTTCCATGTGAATTCTTGGCTGTGATACAGTAAAGTATGTGGAATGTAGACACTTCCCTCCATGTCTTTAATTATAAAGATCCTAAGTGAAAACTTCTGCATAAACATGAAATACCTCACTCTGTGCTTTTCGTTATTATTCATATAAGAGGATAAGGTTATCACCTCAGTACTACAAAATAATTACAAAAATATTGATATTTAGATGTTTCAGTTACTCTAAATGTTTTTAAAGAAGTAGATTTGCCTGAACAAGTTCAGAAAAAGCTTCATTGCAGAATGTCTGAATTAAACGAAGGTTTATATTGAAATTTGCAAAAACGTCCTTTAATAAAAAATTAAAAATCTCTTCATACTGAACTCAATCAGGAATAAATTTATTTTCAAATTTGTAAAATGTTAAATATGTTTAGACATTCTGTGATAAAAAAATAACTAAATATTTCAAATTGTCAGTATTGTGTAATAATTTGGATAACTCTGTCTGCAAAATATATTAATGGATACGACAGTTGTATTTAAGATTTTTGCATAGTGAAGACGGTTTTGCAGGTTAAATTGCTTAGAAATACTAATTTAATCTTCAGAAGCATCGTAATAAACAACTGAATTCCAAAAGTTTTAAATTTATAACAATGCCAGATGGGTATAAAATGATGAAAAATGAGTAGACAATGATTTTCGAAGTGCCTTTGTAAGAAGTGTGACAGGCTTCACCTTCCAGAATGTTATTTATCTATTACATAGAGGATCTATGAATCAAAATGCTAATTAACAGATTTATGTACAGATATATATTATTTTACAGATACATGTATGGTGTGCCATGTTGTTGAAAGTGTAAAGCCAGATGGCAGTACAGTCAAAACCAATAAAATATATATGTACTAATTATTATCACCTTATTTCATTATAACCCCTTTACTTTTCTTCCAGTGGTTCTCAACCTGTGGTCAGCGGACTCCTGGGGGTCCGCCATCTCCTTCCAAGGGGTCCCCGAAGTTTTTAAGAACATTTAGCCACTAATAACATCTAACTTATTATTTATTTTTCCAAAATTTACGTTTGGTGTGCAATTTAGAATTAATATTTCAAACCCATTTAAATTGGGACATATATCTAAGTCCGCAACAACAAAAAAATATTGAAAGGAGGTTTGCGGTAAATAAAAGGTTAAGAACCGCTGATCTAGACTATAGAAAAATGTGACAGGACTTAAAACAATGAATGGGTAGATAGAAGCAGCTTGCCTCTATCCAAAATTTTCCTTAATTATAATTATATTGAAACATTAGCTTGATTTGCAGTGGCTAGACAATTTTTGGATTGGTTGCCACGTCATGGGTTTAGGCTTATTAAAATTTCGGGAAACATATTGCTCTCTTCTCCAGAAGAAATACTGAAACTGGAGAGAGAGAGAGAGAATAAGTCTTTTGCTGTGTTCATTGGTTTATGGCTTTCCGATGTATCACTTCTAATTACTGGTCAGTGTCGTTGAGGTTTTTGATTTTTATAGATGAGTCTTTTCCAAATTCCAAGCACTTCTAACCCCATGTCTTCATTTAAATTGTTTTGTTCCTTCTGGAAATTATTGTGGTAGGCAGGTATAGTTTTCAGTTGATCTTATTTGTTGGATATTTTGCTTCCCCGAAAGTAGCAAACGAATATAAAATGCACATTGAAAATACATTTTTTTTTTTCATTTTCAATACTTAGCCGTGATGTTACGTTTTAAATCTTTTGACAGTTTGCTTTTTTATTTTTTAACTTTAACTTTAACTTTTAACAGACATAATTTTAAAACGTAGTCAGTGTAAACGAAGGCATATTGATTTTCGAAAAGTTACGACTTATTAAAGTGATGTGCATTTTATATTTTCTATCAGTCTGCTTTTTTCAGTGCCGCAAAATAACCAACACATAAGAAAAGATATTAATTTTAAATGTTTTGAAGTAATTCAGTTTAAAATTAGAAAAAAAGCGAAAATTTCGTTTCGATTTGGTATATTCTCCTATAAAACTAAATATGTTTTATTCTGTTTTATTTGATTAGGTGTTTCTATCACACTAAAAAGAAAGTTTGAATGAATAACCCTGTTCGACAAAAGGGTCAGTGAAAGAGTTATAAATTTAGTTTTGCCTAATAAGCAACATCTCACACTGAGTATAGGGTTTCTTCATGATCCAGTAATCACTATAACAGTTTACATTTCCAAAAAAACTAGTTCTCAAATTGACTTAAAAATAAAATGTGATAGTTTCTTTGTTTTGTTTATCTACCTTCCATAGAGACATATATAATATTTATTCTGTTACTAGGTATTACTAAACGACGAGATAAGTAATAATAGAATAAATATTATATGATATCTTATAACTCTGTGGGAGGTAGATAAACAAAACAAAGAAAATGTCACACTTAACTTTTAAGACAATTTGAGAACGAAAGTTTGATAACGACCACAGTTTTTAAAACGTACGTAAACTACGTAATATGTTGTAGTGATTATTGTGTCATGAGGAATTATCTATTTCTCAGTAAAATATTTCTGTTTAGTTAAATCTAAATTTATAAAATCGACTGTTCGACTGATCCTTACAACGAAAGAAAATACTTCATAATCAAATAAAAAAAAAACAAATAATTATAGACAATATGATATTTACAATAATTAATTGACAGAAATCAGAATCCCTAATTATTCAACTGGACTCGTCAAAATGTCCAACAAATCCCGAATTTCTGATCTTCGTTCGTCACGTGAAAACTGTTCAATAGTTCTCTGTCTTTCAATAAATAGTAAGCACAAACTGTGTAGTTTAAAGTATAAATCACAGCGTCTTCTTGTTTTCAATTCAATGATGCAATATAACTGCTTCAGAAAGTTCTCTATGAATACAATGGTTTTAAATAAATGTCCAAAATAAGACTAATTAGGTGCTGGTACCGCAATAAAGGTGAAAACTTAATTGTAAGATGGAGATTGTTAGCCGATTGCTAGCTGCTAGATTGATAGCTAATTATTGTAACTACATTTGCATAATCTTTTCAGTTAGATGACTTTCAAGAAGCTGAATACAATAGTCTTTTAAATTTTTTAAAAAAGAATTTACATACCTAGTTGTCTATCGTGATCCTAGATAAGAATGTTCAATTATACGGTGATAGTTTTTGTGATAGTTGCTGTTGTGATAACTACCACAAAAACTATCAGCGTGTACGTTATTTGACAGCCATTATTTCCTTGCTATGATACTGCTCTCACACTGTCATTTTAGCTAGTGTATAGATGAAAATTGTATTTGTCAACCCTTTGGGAAAACCGGCGTTTTAAAGTACTATTCTCGTTTGATATAAAATAAAAATAAAAATGTTACGTTTTAGAAACGTTTTAATATGAATATAATGCTTATGGAAAAGTCTTTTGGCATTATACTTATAGTATTTTTTATATGAATACTATATGTTTTGATGGTTGTAATTCTAGTAGATTCGAGTTCAAAATTTTCATTTTGATAACTCTTGACATTAACGCTGGTTAAAAGTGGAAATTACTGACCGATAACAAACATACTTAACGGTTGTGTAACTCAATATTTCTGTGTATTATTTATTGATACACAATTTTATATTTCAACACACTGGTCCAGTAGCATTCACAACAACATATACCTTCACGTTAAATCACATACTAACCGAATGATTTAATTACTGGTCGGTTTCCACTAGAAATAACCCTTGTTAATTAAAAACCACATAAACTTATACATTTGCTCTTCTGTATATATTAAATATATTTTATCACATAATTATAAATAGATGGTTTTTACTAAACAAAGTCGACGGCCAAATATATTATCAATAACAAAATTAGTTCACAAACAATGTAATTGCACTTGAACGATTAGATTGTTTACAAAAGAACTACAAAGACAATGAAAAGATAAAACTTCTTTGTGGTACATTCTCAGTCGACTGCTTTCGCTTTTAAACACCATTCGTCGGTGTTCTTGATATCTTTCAAAGGTGAGTTGACTTTTTTAACTTGTTTGACTTGTTTACTGGTTTACTGTAAATAATTAGGTAGAAAAAAATTGTATGTTCTTATGATTGTAACTTCTTTAAATAGATGGATGTATAGTTGCTTTTTTATAATATGGAGTAACCCAAATACAATTTGGTGAAAGCCAAGGTGCCATTCACTTTATAATTCAGAATCACGGCCAACTGCGACCAATTTTTTTTATGCAAAACACCTAGTAATGTCCTTTTAAAGAACAAATTCCGACTAATTTTGATGCATTTGCAACATACAATGTAATTCAAATAATTAATAACGCCTTTTAAGATTAAATTTTAAGCAAATTTTTGAAGAGTGAACTTAGTTTGTAAATTGTTTATAGTTCTAGTCTTTTACTCATATACTCTTTGGAAAACACTCATTAATAGAAAAATATTTACAAAAAGTATTTGATGTAATCCATACTTACATATTGCCACTGGCAATAGTACTCATCCTATCTTATTTGAATTGCCGTACATGTGAAAAAAATAATGTAATTCTTTGTTCGTTAATTTAGTTAATAAATGTGTTTTTCACAATATCGATAGTTTATTGTTTTCACTTATAAATTTATGTAAAATATTTTTATTATTAAATATCTAAAGTTAAATACATTAAATAGCTGTGGCAACATTATCTAACTGTTAAAAGTGAACAAATTCCTTTTTATTTGTATGATGCTATATTAAGATATCATTCACTCGTAAACTCTTCAGTAGAAACTTGTAAGTGGCGACTTGTAGTGAGTTTTTATATAGTTTCGCTTTTGTGGCTAGAGGTATGAAAACCTTTTCAATAAAAATAATTTTAAAAACATTCCCTTTTGAGGTCTACAATTTGTTTGATCAAAATAGTTTCAAAACGTCATTTTGACGTCACGATGAGTTCGATAAAACAGAACTGTCAAACTAACCAAACTCTGAGTCGAAAACAAAATATTATTAGAAAAAGTAAGTTGGTAACTTTTGGGAGAATTATGAGACTATTTATTATTTATTATTTTATTAATTTAACATAATCAGATTGATGATATATGAAAGTCAATTTTGACCAAAAGAATTTTGTAGTCTTACATGGGCCTAATACAAAGGTAGAGCAATAATTAGTCAGCAAATAAATATTTTATGGTATAATTGGTCTTTTTCTTACTGCCCAGAGTAACATTTTTTATATTAATTTAATTTTAAACTATACTTAAGCATATAAATACATTTATACGATATATTTTGCGTATTCTAACACACCTCCACCGATGAATATCTATTTGTCATATACATTGTTCGGCATGATCCATTTTCTCTTATATATTTTTCTTAGTAGGTATTTGTGTGTGCAGCAATGACTTCCCTGTCAAAACGTGTAGTGCCAGACATCATACTAGAAAACCTAACATGCAGGATATGCTGCAAATACTTAACCGTAAGTCCAATTGGAGTGCATCCAGATGGAGGAAACATCTGTGGGAGGTGCCTATACGGGAAAAAGTCATCTCCAACGTGTCTTTTCGAATGCATGGAGGATTTAAACTATCATTCGTTCCAAGGATTTATTCCAATGGTCCTTCTAGGATACGCCAGTTATCCCGAAACTCTTTTTCCATGCGTCAATCGTTTTGAAGGGTGCAATAAGCTTTTGCCGTTTTCCGCTATAAAGAATCATGAAAAAATCTGCGTTTACAAGAAATTCCAGTGTCCTTTGTGCCAGTTTCAGGGCGTCGGTAGTCAGTTGATTCAACATTTTAGGACCGGCCATAAGAGGTATCTATCATCGGAAAATCCAGTGTTTATATTAAAGATAGACAACGACTTTTCTGAGACTTACTTATTTAGAAGTGAAAATACTTTATTCTTAGTGAAAGTGGAATATATTAAAGACTTGTCTCAGTTTATGTTTGAGACTTTGTGTTTGGGAACCCCGTCGAGAAAATTGGGGAGGTTAAGGATATTATTTAGAATACCATCTGGCAGTATTTCAACGTATAACGACTACATTTTACTCTCTGATCGTTTAGAAATTTCAAGGAACTGTAGATTCAACATGACTTTTAAGATTAATGATTTTCGTTTGAGTGAAACTAAAAATGTCGTGTGTAGTTATAACTTATTTTATACAGAATGAAAACTTGTATTTGTAAAATTGTGATGTTTTAAATAAGTTTAATGTCATTCACGTAAATAAATACTGATACGAAAAGTCACGTGATAGGGATACATCTGCATGTCCTTGCGTGATGAAACAAAGAAATTTTATCAAACTGCAATAATCCGGTTGTTTCTTTCAAAGCAATTCGCACAATCATTTGACTTTGATACGTACAATCAGTATTTAGAATAATGTTTTTAGAAATCTTTATTTTTTGTAAAAATAAGTAAGTATAACGACAAACACAAAAATATTCTAGGTTACCGTGCATATTTAAAAGCTTTTCAACTGAAAATACTGTATTGTCGCCCATGTATGATATAAAAATATTATTTAAATCAGCAGTATATCAGCAATAGGTATTTCATATCATTAAACAATGTAATTCAATAATGTCGACTCCAAAAGATGTATCTAAGTTATGTCATATCTATTATAAAATGTAAGATGTAGAAAATTAATATTTTTGTAAAATATAATTGTATATAAATGCTTAATATTCATACGTCTTTAGCATATAAGATATTTAGAAAATCAATTAGGAAAAATTGAAGATTCAGTGGAGAAATCAATGCAAATCTCTTTTAAAGGTTAATATTAAAAACGCTACAAATTCCATATATTTAATTAACATCCATCTTCAGCTAAATGAACTCACATAAGGCCCATATTAATTTTACTCATACTAATAGTTTCAGAGATAAAGAGGGGGGAAGTATGTGATTTTGGCTGTAGGTAAGCTTCACGAAGATTCAAGTTGATGGATTCATTTTCCATTGATTTTGTGCTGGGGTTCTTTGTTAATATTGAACACATAAAATTATAGATTATTCAACAACCACAGTAAAAACTAAATCTACATTATGTTACTAGTTGAAAATTTTCAGGTCAAATGGTTACGTCTATTCATCAAACTTCTTTTAATTGCTTGATAATTGCTCCTATAAGGAAACTCATTAATATTAATTAATTAATCTATTAAACTAAAGCTATTATTTAGTACAAATGTACATAATAGGTTCGTTTCTGCAACAATCTCAAACTGTTTCAAACTATCATATATTCGACCACTTAAGTTGTCACTTACTTTCAGCGAATAATGTAAGAATATGGTCAGGAATATATTGGTCAAATGTATCTGATAGTTTCAAATCAGTCCTCAACTGCTGCAGAAACAGACCTCTTTTAAATTATATCGTACCTAAACGCACTGCTAAGCTTAAAGAACCCATACTGCCATCCTTTAGCTTGTGAAATCAATTCTGTTGCTGGAGATATCGATTAAATTACGTTGTTATGGAAATTGCAGTCACTCTGAAAGACAGAATTTATCTTGCAGCGATTTAAATCGTAAAAAGTGCATAACATATTCTAAAACGAATCAAAATGGATGAGGAAGAGGTGGAAATTCCAGGTAGGACCAAAGTTGCCATTTTAATGTGACATAGAAAAGGAAAGATGGTGATTCTAAAATGCATTTTAGTGCCAATAAATAATGACCTGGAGAGAAGAATCGCAGATGCTTTTGAAGTGTTTGATCACGCTGGAAATAAAACTATAGACGTTCGGGAGATCGCTACTATAATTAGAGGTCTTGGATGTTGTCCTTCCGAAGCTGAGGTCCAAGAGATAATAGTAGCTGTGGAAGACCCCCAGACACCTGGAAGTGTGCACTTGTCAAAATTTCTACCTTATGTGTCCCAAATAATTACAGAACATAAGTAAGAAGCTTTACACTCATATTCCTCTTGAAATATTCCATATCGTATAAATTTTGTGCAAAGAAAAGATAAATTGCCAAGAATACTTTCAAATACATTCGACGGAATGTCTTGAGATAAATCTGATTCAGTTGTTCAATCCATTATAACCATTTTTATCTAACAACCAGATATCAGCCTGCAAGTCCAGAGCAACTTTTACAAGCTTTTCAAACACTGGATCAGGAAGGACATGGATATTTAACCAAGGAATATATTTCTACTTTGATGACTCAAGATGGAGAACCATTTACTCAAGACGAATTGGATGAAATGCTGGAAATTGCTATTGATCCGCACACCCAAACTGTGCCTTATGAGTACTATATTAATCAACTGATGGTAAGATACTTGACAAAATTTGTTCCCGATTCATCAGCAAACTTTATTACCAAATACAATTGTTTTGTTAATGAGAGAGATTCAGGTCTAGTTTCATTTTTTAGATTTCTTGATCCAGTATATTCAACAACAATATTCTATTCTTCTATTTTGTAAATAGTTATTATTCACATCCGGCAAATTGTATCTAAATCCATAGGTACCTTTTAAAATTTATTATGATTTCCTTAAAGTATAATATTTACAACAAAAAATTCAGACTTCCTTACTTAAAATAATATAAAAAATATAATAAAAACAAAGGCATATTCACATAGACATCTATGAAGTTTACCTAATCCTACACTGATGGAAGTTTGTGTAACGACTAGAAATTGACCTTAAAAGACAAATCGATACAGGTTATTTGGAATTTTCCACGTCTTTATTAAAATATTCAGTCCAACAAGATTAAATTACTGGAATTAGATACTTCTGTGTCTTTTGTACTGTTGTACCTATTCATTTATGAGATACATTATTTAATATTCTTCTTTTAAAAAAGTAATTATTGTAATGTTATTTAGAGTACACAGTTACTGAAGACTGTCACTTTTCAGTTTTACCTTGTTCTGTACAGGACCGTTTGGCAGTAATAATTATTAATTTATTAAAGAACTTAAGAAATATTTTATAGCATGAACTTAAAGGAGAAGACAATATATATAATTTAGCCGATAGAATAGAGTCTGAAAAGCCACCCCCACCCCCTCCGCCAAAGAGTATGGCAGATTATTTGAAAGCAACTGAAGAATTAATGCAAATTTAAACATATTGAAATCATTATAAAAAAGATTTGTAATCATTATTGATCTTTAGTATTCAAATGTCTATGAATGTAAATATAAATAATGTACAATAAAAAAAATAACAAAGGAAACTATTAATTTTTTATACATTGATTCATATTTGTTTATTTATATTATTTATTTAAAATTTGAATTGATTAAAGAAAAACTAGATTTTAAATCCCCCTCATACATTTCTGTAACTGCATTTGTATGTATATATATGAAAAACTATTTTTTTTTTAGATTGATTAAATCTTCAGCAGAAAATGTATCTATTTCAAGAGCAACATCTCAGTTATAAGCAAAATTAGTTATAAGTTTTACAATATATAGGATGTTTACAAACTTGAAGAGGATGTTTGAAGAGTAAGCAAATCGAGGAGCGAGAACTCGATTGATAGAAACATTTTTTGCAAATATAATTTTTTTGTACCTACCAATTACCACACTGATTCGATAAAAACTTTTTTGAAACCGCCGGCTCAACCGGCTCTGTCTCTTTTGGTCCATGAGTATTTGGAAATGGTACACAAAGATACATAGTTAACTTAATATCATTGCATTCTATTTAAAAATATTTTCCAAGTTTGTAAACACTAAACTAACTTCTACTTTATATTACCAATTCCTTTAATTTGTTCAGAAAAAAAAATTGTAAATTAACGTGTGACGTATGTATACATACATAAATATATTTCTTTATACCTTAGACCTTAAATAATTTTACTGGAATTTAATACATCGAAGTGTGAGCTGCAATCAGTCGTGTTCTCCGTCTTTAAACCATCGTAACTAATTGAATCGAATTTTGTTAACATTAGTTAACAATTATCATGTACATTACATAGGATAGCATAGCTTATAAAATCAGTGCCACTAGATCGTTTGATATTTCTTAAAAATTTCCCATCTATAAATAAGCTCTATACTCATTGTCCAAAAAAAGAAGAAGAACTTGTAACAACCCTAGATAAATGATACTATAGATATGAAACTTGAACAGATTTCGTGGTCATTAACAGCGCTAACTGTTGACACTTTCTCCAACTTCTATCGCTTTCCTTTTCTAGGAGTTATCGGTAATACAGTGAGTTAAATTACCTGTAGCCGGTAAAAGATGCAAGCGCCATCTAGCTGTACGCTCTACAACTATATACCTACTCAATATTTGTTTTAGGCATTCTGACGCCGCTAAATTTAAAATTACATAACAAATCTCACCCTACACAATAGCAAAGCGCATCCCAGGCTGCATAGCCGCACTACCCTATCCAACCATACCACACATAAACATGACACTACCCCCGGGGTTTACACAGACGAGCCGGCGAAGCAAGAAGAGCGCCAGAAGAAAGGGCCCTAGCCGGCGGAGCCCAGCCAGGACAAAAGGAGGTCCCACAAAGCGCCTACACCGCATTTGCGGTCGGGGTAGACGACGGATGGGGCCCACCTACGAAGGCTGTCCAGGCCTACACGAGATGAGGCAGGATAAAGAGGGATAATCCCCCTCGATCCCAAATCATTGAGGCCAATTTCTAGCCATAGAATAATGGCGCGAGTGGTGTTTCCACCCTACACAGATCACTCGTAAATTGATTTTGTAAAATTTTCACGTAGATAATTTTTTTTGTCACCATGAGAAAATAAGTACTTTTGATAAAAAGCATTAAAATCACTCAAGCATTAAAGACACTTTTAAATGCTCTAATAGTCTTCTTACTTAAAATAAGAAATAATTTTGATACTGTAACTTTTTAAAATGTTTGTTGAAAAAATTTCAAATTTCTGTACATATTTTGAAAAAAAAGAGTGGAAATGATTATAGAGTTTCAGTGCTTTCTATATTGTATTAGCTTTCACGGTGAATAAAAAATATTACAAGTAAATAATTTTACTAAACCAATCTTTGATTAATTCTTGTAATAGAGATTTATTATGCAACTTTAAATTTTTCGTTGTGTTGATATCCATAAAAAAAACTACCTACCTCTCATCACATTTTTTATTAAAATAAAAACAAAAAAACAAAACATTTTATTATTAATAAAAAAATGTGATTATATCATGATCAGACATTATTATGTTATATAAATAAATGTGAATGAAATACACACTAAAAACACAAATAAAACACACACCAACACTCGCCAAACCTAACCAACAATAAACATGGACAACATGAACGACATGAAATGATTCATAATTGCAATTGTTAAAATTTATTCTATAAAATCTTTGTGGCGACATCTATAGACTCTTTCCCCAACTTGTATATCCATCTCAAGTCACGTGGTTCCCAGTGTCCCCATATTTTCAAGTATAAGGTTTCGGGCCCTGGTAACAACATTGTGAAAATGTGAGACAACCTAACCTTACATTTTCTAATGTAAAATGTGTTTAAATAGTATTCAATTAAATCTGTCTTAAAACTATAACTTAAAATAAATATCGCAAAATAAATATATTAGAAATTATAATAAAATGACGGCAGTTGTAAAAGGAAACCTATTAATATACAAAGGTTGTAGTTTTCTTAGACAGAGATTGATTTTGTCAGTATTAAGTGGAAAACCTGTTCGGATATTAGAAATTCGAACCCTAGAAGATGAACCTGGTTTGAAGGAATTTGAAATTAGTTTGATTAGACTTCTTGATAAAGTAACTAATGGTACAGTAATCGAATTAAATGAAACTGGTACTTCTTTGTATTTTCAACCCGGTATACTTTACGGTGGCGTCATTGAACATGAATGTTCATTGCAAAGAGGCATAGGCAAGTATTTGGATAATTTAATTAATTGTCACCTTATTTATACTTTTCGTGTAGGTTATTACTTGGAGGCATTGTATATGCTGGGCCTTTTCTGTAAGCAACCGATAGTAGCTACATTAAGAGGCGTTACGAGTAATGCTATTGATCCATCTGTGGATCTAATGAAGACATCAATGTTGCAGACTCTTAAGAAATTTATATTAGATGACGAAGGACTGGACTTAAAAATATGTAAAAGAGGTAAACGATAATAATTCGTTAGAAATATATGTCTTAATAAATAGAAATCATTTCCAGGAATGTTGCCTCTTGGTGGCGGTGAAGTTATATTCAAATGTCCGATAAGAAAACAAACCAGACCCATACAATTGATGGACGAAGGGATGGTCAAAAGAATAAGAGGCACAGCATATGCTTTGCGGATTTCTCCAGCTATAGCCAACAGAATGGTAGATTCAGCAAAAGGGGTCCTTCTCAATTTCATTCCTGATGTGTACATAAATACCGACCAATGTAAAGGAAAGCAGTCTGGAAAAAGTCCAGGGTTTGGAATCCACCTTATGGCCGAAACAACCAATGGAGTTATTTATTCAGCTGAACAGGTATGTCTTTAATTAAGCCTTGTTCTTGTTGGGAAAAGCAGCACAGTTACCTGTAGCAGTCAGTTTTTATGGCCCATTGTGTATGCTGCTAATATGAGTTAAAACATGCCCATGCTACTTCTGAAGACAAGCATTAGCTTTGCTGAGGCAGAAATGGTGTCTTTGAGATAAGCTGTCACCATCCATGTCTGTCTGAGCAGTCTTTCAATCATTTTTTTGATGTAGCACTTTGTGAAGTAAATGTGTTCAAATTAAAATTTTTTCAATGGTTTCAAATTTAGAAGTGGTATCTAATGGTTGTTATATAACAAAAAAAAAAAACAAGAATAGGGTCTTAAAAATAATAGTGTAACAAACATCTAAATATGATCCATGCACTTATAATTAATTTATGGTTAACAAAAATAGTATTATTAACGTTGTGGTTACATGCAGGTGTCCAACGTTATTTCAAATGGGGAAGAGCCGTCACTACCAGAAGACTTAGGGACGGGAGTGGCTCAGAGGTTACTGTATGAGATATATTTGGGCGGAATGACAGATTCCACATCTCAGTCGTTAGCCATACTTTGTATGGCTTTGGGCCAAAAAGATGTTTCGAAGCTGGTAACGGGGCCTTTGTCGGAACACTCGATTTGGTTTTTAAGACATTTAAAAGAATTTTTCGGTGTGACTTTCAAACTTGAAAATTATGTGAGTGATGAAGAGACTGGCAGTAATGGGTCTGAAAAAGTGTTGTTGACTTGTGTCGGTATCGGGTACACTAATATTAGTAAAAGGACTATATAAATCTTTAATCTTTGTTTTTGTTTTGTGACAGACATTTTGGTTATAAATAAGTGTGGTTAAATACACATAATTATGTATTTTTTATGGTGAATAAAAAAGAACCAAGAATTAGCCTGTCTCATTACTATATTCCTCATTCTAAAAAAAATAAGTTCAAATAATAGGCCTGACAGACAATGATTCCTATAGGAACTGCAACTGCTCCTTGAAGGTACATCTCTGGAGAGGGTTTTTATTCAAAATCTCTGAAACTTGTAGGAATATATAAATCAAATTTTAGGGATCTCTTCTAATTATTTTATTCTCAACAGGAAACTACTCCCACATTTTTGTGGATAGTCTTTTTCCAAGAAATTAAAGAATTTTATAATTTTTTATACAAAAAGGGTGTTCTTGTTAGACAACTGCATGAAAATATAAAAATTACCAAATCAGATGCCTCATTAGCCTGCCAAATTTTGTCACTAGATTGTGCAGTTAAAAATTCAAAAAAAGAAACTTTTGATAACCACAGATTGGAAGATGCTTCCTAAGAAAACTACAGAGCCTTGATTAAGTACTTTTATGAGAGTCTATAGTTCTCTAATATACATTTTTGACATTTCTTTATTAGTACTATTATTTTTCATATTTTTGGACATAGAATCTCATCCGCATAATTTCTGATCTATTTTCTAATAAGATTTTGAAATAATTCTTAACCTGTCTTGTTGACATCTTTAAGAGGCTATAGTTCCTTTAGAATTTTCAAGCCTTAATTTTTTAGAACTTTTTCTTGTTACTTAAAATTTACTAATGAAATTTGGCTGGTTACTCATAGGACAACCTGAAAAGGTTCCTATAAGGATTGACAAAAATGAAATATATGTATGTAAAATTACCTTTATTAATTATAATACTGTACATTAAACATTAAGGTTTAATTTAATTACAATTACATAATGACGGTAACGAGGATCATTTACACGTTGAGACTATAACTCTAACATCTGCTCTGATAGTCCAAAAGTAATTATTCTGCTTTTAAATATGTTTCACCGGTTAACTGGTATCAAATTTAAAATACTGTTTTATTATAACAGAACAAAAACGCTTTGTTTTTTTTTATATTTACAGGATCATTTGCATCAATTTTTATGAAGTACTGATAGCTCTCTTCCAGATGCCACTGGCCTACATGACTTTTATCACATTTTAAAGTACTTTGTTTATAAATAAAAAAAAATTAATAATTTATTACTCGTTACATCCAAGCCCGGCAGACCAATTACAAATGCCCCCTATCGGATCGAAGCTCAGGTTTTTGGGGCACGTGTATTCCCAGCCCAAAACCTTCCCGTTCTCCATTTTGGCACATGAAATGAACTTTTTACATGACACAGGGTGAGGAAAATTTCCTTGATCTAAGCATTCTATAACACCGTTACTATGTAGCAGCACTTTGCTGTGCTCGGGTATCTTCCCAAAAACACTGCCTTCGATACTGTCATAGTAATCGTATTCAGACAGCGGTCTGAAAGTGTTGGAATCTGCCGCTTTTATTTTCTGAAATGCTTCAGGCCTTCTGTTTTTCATTATCGACTTGGCAGTCGTGAGTAGGATAGGGGAAATTGTCGTTGAATATTTTATTCGGCTACGTGTTGGTTCTGAAAAAGAAATAAATTCGTTTCAGGGTACTTATTTACTAATGAATTTAGTAAAGTTGTAGGAATTGTACATCTGAAAAGAGTTATTATGATTTTTAAAACATATGTGCTTTGTTGGGATAGTGCAGAAATCCGCAGTGTTCTTTAGTTTCTATGGCAAGAAATCCTTAAGAATTAATTGTTAGACGTGGTAAAATTGTGTAATGTCATCTACTGTTTAACCGAATAGTCTTCAAACTTATAGATTTGAGTAGAGATTGAAAATACTATGAAATAATGTTTAGGTTTACTACCAACAAGTTCGTCTCTTGAGGTCACAATTCAATAAAAAAAGACAAGGAAGACATAACACTGCTAACATCACAAAAGTTCATTTGGGAGGTTATTCCACATCTGCTATATTTTCCTGGCCTTGCTTCATTGGATTTCCATCTCTTCCGAGAGAGGAGAGATGCAATAAACACTACAATATTTTTCATGTTTACGTACTTACTTTTTTCAACAATGCGTTGAGTAGTTTGAGGAGAACTTCTCAGATTCTTATCGAGTAACCTGTTGGTTACTTTGTTAATAACAAAGACAAGGAAGACATAACACTGCTAACATCACAAAAGTTCATTTGGGAGGTTATTCCACATCTGCTATATTTTCCTGGCCTTGCTTCATTGGATTTCCATCTCTTCCGAGAGAGGAGAGATGCAATAAACACTACAATATTTTTCATGTTTACGTACTTACTTTTTTCAACAATGCGTTGAGTAGTTTGAGGAGAACTTCTCAGATTCTTATCGAGTAACCTGTTGGTTACTTTGTTATTAGTACGATGAGTTGTTAGGGTCATGGTACTTGAAGTGTTGACGGGCAGAGGAGCATGCTGAATATTCTTTAAAGCAATAGCTAGTTCGCCCAGTTCTGTAGTCTTTCCTCCTTCAAAGTCTTCTTCTAGCGACTGCTGATTGCTGGATTCCGAGACTTGGTCGAGAATTACTTCGGTGGTTTTTTTCCTTGGTGTGGTGGTCCGGAGAATTGGTTTTCTAGACATAAACCGGAATCGGGTCTCTAATTTAGGTCTTGCTGTTGTTGTTGATATTGTTGTTTCTGTAAATAAATTGTTGTTGTAGATAGCTATTTATATTCAGTATTTTCACTTGAAAGATATTAAGCTAATTCAAATTATACAATTTTTTTCTAAAAATCCTACCAAATGGAGTCAAACAATGTTTTTCAATAAAAAAATCTTCTTCACACAACATTTCTAATGATATCGCGGAAAAAATTCCTCTTGGCTACAGCTATTGTTCAGATTTTGTTCTGTTTACTGAAAACGTATTACAATTGTTACATACTCTAAAATGTCATTTTCATATCGGAAAACTATATGAATTTGATATGTTACAAACATTTAGTGCTACAAAGCTGTTATGTGTTTTTTTTATATCTCCTTAGTCGTAAAGAAAGTTATGGCTATTTGCATTCATTGTCAGTAAATGATTCCATATAGTAGGTACCCACTCAAATTCTGGCTTCAGAATTAGAAATCACTACAGCATTCTTCTTCTCTTCTCAGTGACATACTTTGTCATTTTCCGAAGTCGCTGTTAGAATGTTAGACCCTGTATATAAAAAACGTGCAACAAATTAACGCTTCACTGATTTTTCAATGATTTAGCGTAAATATTTATAACCTTGACACTGGATTTCTACTAACAAATATAACCAAGTTTATTAGTAGATTGGGAAATTTTTCCTGATATGCTAGTTTCTTCATTTCAAAAGAAACAATGGTTTATTAAAAAAACAATGTATATACTCCAAGATATCCTAACAAGAATGGCCAATTTTGTTTTCCTAAACAGTTTTTTTTAAACAACTGTTTAGGTAAATAAAATATGTTCAGAATTAATTCAAATTAAAAGTGAAACAGATACTTGTCACGTCACAAGTTATGCGTTTAATGACCCTGTTACTTAAGGATACCCATTTTCCATACTAAACAGCGTATACATCAATACTTTTGAAATACAATAGATTCCATTCAGCTAATGTCTTCAAGTGAAATCTCTATGCACTTAATATGGTAGTCCCGTCATGTTTGTGGTTAACATTACTTGTGGTGTAAAGTTTTACATTCGTATGCTTAGGTAGTAACACCATGTTTCCCACATAACATATTGTGGGTACTTCAAGTCAGTGTTTTCGCATCAGTTTTAAAAGATTATCCTAGAAATTAAAGGCCATAATACTGTCCCAAATGGAGCCGCTTACATTTCTTAAAAACGTAAGTTAATTAGTACAGACCAATTTAAATAAACTGCGCAAGATAGAGAGAGAACGTATTCGACTAGAAGGAATAAGACGACAAGTTTGTACATATTACATAGTCTATATACTTCGCATGGTTTATTTCTGACCTTGACATAATTGTCAAATATTACGCTTTTAACGTAATTATATTAAAAATAAAATTAAAAGGTATGTTTCCTTTTTTTAACCAAATAAGTACCCAGTAGATTTGGGTATACATTTACATATTTCAAAATTGTTGTTAAATCCATAGAAACAAGTTATTTCATAATTTATTTACGACCGAGTTTTACGTCTAACAAAATTTCAACGTTCTTCCTAAGATCGCGGTTGTGCAAGACAAAAACCGGAGTCTGTTTCGGTTTGTACGGTAGACTTAAAAGTAGCAAGACGGGTTCGGAATCCGACCAATTAATACGTGACTTAAAGCGCAATTAAAAATACCGCACCGAAAAATTTTCTGCGGCCCCGTAACGTTTTTTTTCGTTCGATCATTGTCACTTTCTAACTCGTCAGTATTAACTGACCGATATTTTTGCTCGGTTTCTGCAAGTAAACCGTATGAATAGAAACACTTGATGTTATTATTTTCTTTAATTGAACGCGATATTACTTTCTCTCCCCTGGAGTAAGAAAATACCTAGCATTCACAAAACAATTTTTATATTTAACTGCCTTACTTTTACCGTCGACCACTGCTTTTGATTTCGAGGAATTGGTAACGGTTTATTTAATCTCGACGCTGTTAATGCAGCGTAAAAGAGAGACGTTAGTCTTTAACACCTATAATAAAATAATAATCCTTTTGAATGACTTGAAAGGATATTATTCATTTTAATCTACTTATTAAATCTACTGGTATCATAATTGTTGTATTTTTACCATTTACTAATAGATGTCTACCTACACATTTAGTTCAGTCAATGACCATTTTCCCGTATAATTTTGCCAAACAGCACCGATTTTCATAAAAATTTGGATTTAGGTTCTACTTATCCTCTACTTCAAAGTTACAGTGGGTGGATGCCACCCCTTCTCGGGGGTGAAAAATGTTTCATTGAAAATAACTCCGGGAATGGATATATTGAGTAATTCTAAGCAACTTTTGTTCTATAAAGTTTTTTCTGAAAGTTAATACTTTTCGACTTATTCGCGAGTGAAAGTATGCATTTTTAACCAAAAAAAAAAACACTTATTCGGACGGTTTTTTGCGAATAACTCAAAAAGTAAGTATTTTATCAAAAAAAATCATTCTTATAAAAAACGTAGTTTTTAAAAAACAAAAAGAATGGTGTGTTTATCGTGTCTGTAGTCCCAATACAAGCGGAGTAATAGCTTGTTGAAGGTTAATTCTTATTCGTCAAACGCCAAAATTGAAAATTTAAACGTGAAATAACCAAAAACCAATGCATTTTTCAGAGAATACTCATAGAACCATTTTTAAAGTGCTTGAAGAAACCTTTATTTTTATTATTTATAAAAGTCCCTAGCATCAAACCTAAGCGAGTTATGACGAAAATAAAGTTGGTCCGTATTTTTTTCGGCTACAAAAAAAAAAACGTGAAAATCACCCCTTAATTACCACCCCACTTGAAAATAATCGTTACCACTTTACAATTTACTTTATTTATGTACTTGTAATATGCTCTAGAAGTTTGGTTTAAAGTGCTTAGTTTTGAAAAAAGTTAGCTTGAAGTGAATAGAGAATTTTTGTATTTTTGGAAAAAATTGTCTATTCTTCAAAATAACTCAAAATCTATTAATTATACGCAAAATTTTGTAGAGTACAAAATTGTAGGTTTTGATTTTTTGAAAAATTTTGTTTTTTTTCTGTAGGATAAAAATTAAGTAAGATATGGCCGTAAGTTTGCATATGTTCGGAAATAGCAACTTGTTTAAGCCCTTTCAGCTCAAACCCTTAGATACAAAAATAAGGGCTGAAAGAAAATTTTACTTACTTGATCTTATAGCCCTTGAAAAAACCTACAAAATGGTTATTTGGAGGGCTTGATAGCATAAAAACTAAGTGAGTTATGGGTAAAAAACCAGTCACATATTTTTGCAAATGTCAGAACACGTATATTGAAGCATTGATGAATACACATTACAGCTATATTTTAGGAATAGAAATAGGAATTTTAGGAATAAAATAGAAAAGGAAGACGAGAGTGAAGAGGATTTTTGATTATTTATATGTTATTTGCAATAAAAAAAATGTTGTTATAAAAATAAAAAAATAAATCCATATAGAAACAAAATTCTTATTTTCCTTATTTTTGATTGCAAATTTTAATCAGTAGCTCGAATCTACAATTCTATAATTATTTTTGAATAGGGGCAGTTTTCACCCCTAAAAAATAAAAAGCAACCCCCTGCACAGGGTTGATTAAGAAATAGTTGTACAAAGTTAAGAGCTACGCACATTTACCCGCTAATGGAGGACATTAATTTAATTTTCTCGATGTAAATATTCAATAGAAACAGCAATTTAATTTTGTTTCTGTTTTTTACAAATACTACCTACATACATAGTAATATGTATTTAAATGTTTCTTATATAATAGTACTTACTGTGACTATTAATTATGGTCTATATATGTATTATTTTAAAGGGGAAATACTCATGCAATTTTAGTAAACAATTCGCAAACAATGTTGAAATTATTTTTTTCTAGCTATGCAACTATTAATAATAGGAGTATTGAGGACCCGTTGGATTCTAATTTTCAAGCAATAATTAGGTATATTTTGACTTGGGAAACATTTTCGAAACATCTTTTTTGCTGGCTTAGCTAATACATTGTTGTTTCTCGAAAATATGGTATATTTATAATCTTTTAGAAAGTGGTAAAGATTAAAAACGAAATATGAATTGCATTATATTCAATCAAATGCCACGTTTTTATTAATTTCTGACTAGTCACTTTGTTGTTACACTGATGGAATGATCGAAGTACTGAATGCAAAAAAAAACAGGCAATGGTAGGTAGATGCATTGCACTGCATTGAACTTCAAAGTATTAAATATGAAAGTTGGCGAAACATGTTTTTCAAATTATGTTCGTGTCAGTGGTCCTGTCAAAATATCTGTCCTGTTTTCATATTTCCAAACGGTAATCACAAATCAAGTAAAAATTAAATGAATATTACACATTAATTTTTTTTATCAGGAAAATATTTTTCTGACAAACTCATAGTTTCTCTTACGACTAATACGATAAATGTCGAAATGTACGCATCAAAACATTATTAGCTTAGTTGATAAAATAGTATTTTTTTGCGATAAGTGTATATATTGTAAGAAAAAAATTAACGTACATATTTTGTTTTTGTTATTTATGGCGGCGGCGCTGGTGACAAAAACATTTTTAATTTAATTAGAATCTAGATGACACAGACATTGTAGATTGTTATTATTTATTCTAAGAGCATAAAAAAGCGATCATAACCTAGCCTTCTGTGTCATATTTTTAAGCTAGTTTAGGCTAGATCGATTATTGGCTAAAATTTTGAAGAACCCATGATTCGGATGACTAGTGTTTAATCTAATAGCCTTCTAGATGTACTGATTGAACCAGTTATGATAATTTAGTTGACAGTTCATGGCCTCTTGCGAAGCGAAAATTTGAGAAAATCGCGTTAGGGATTTTTTTAATCTAACTACGTAGTCGCAATCAATATCACTAAAAACTCATATGTCTCAGTTATTGATGACTGGTGATTGGAAGTGGCAAATAATACAGTCGATTAGGGGCTAAAAATTGTAAAAATACTAGATTCTACCTGCAGTTTTAAAAATAAGTTATATGTAGACTAGAAATTTGCCAATCTTCTTAATTAGGAGGGTCAATAATTGACAAATTTTTCGTCTTGAGAAATTTTCAAAGCCTCGTACATTTATAAACTGAAGCAGAAAGTTCATCAATTTAAAACTTCAGGTCTGTGTAAAAAAATATATCGGGTTATATAAAAAAAAAAAATAAAATCAAAAAAATAGAATGGTTTTTATAAAAATAAAAAAAATAAAATCAAAAAAATAGAATGGTTTTTATAGAACTTTTTGGTTAAAATCCCTTATTCCACTACCTGGTAAAAGAATCCGATCTACGACCCTGATTTATTTTATGAAACTTGACAAGGCCCCACCCAGCTAAGGTATTTGTTAAGTTAATTTTTTTAGAGAAAATAAAGACATATTAAGAGCATAGTAATTCTCTACGTAGTAGATATATCTGCCTTTATTGTGCAGGCTTTGTTCAATTACTTTTACTGTTACATAAAATAAAATGCAAATGTAGAATAACCAAGTAACCAGGACCAGACCTATTTCATGGTTAGTTTACTAATTATTTCCAAGTGGTATTAATTAACGTATTGTTTTGAAATTATACGTATTACGTGGGTATAGACTGTTTTAATAACGGCTTTTGTGTTGTTCTTTCCTTTTCATGGTTTGAATTCGTAAATGGTTCTTTTAAGTAATATGTTTGAATCCGATTATATGAAGAAAAAATTACAATGATCTTCACGTATGTGCATTTGTAACAATCTACAATGCGATATTTTATTCGTAGTCTCGACCACTCTAATGTATCTTCAGACAAGACAACTTTTGTAGTTTATTCTTTAATAATTTCATCTGTTGATTTTTGTTTAGTCTTCATCAATATATTCATAATATTCATCAAAATCATGGTAAAACTTTTATATGAATTGCGCTGGCTATCTTTAAATACAACTATAGTAATGCAGTTTTAGTTTAGTGCGAAAGTATGTGGAAGTTTACTAGTAGTAGTACATATATTTGTCAAATGTAAACAAATGTCGCATCGTGTGGATGGTGCATATCGATAAAAGCACGTCATCACTTGCAAAACACTCAAAGTTATCCCAAGAATACATCCTTTGAACTATTCAACAAGTGTGGTGGTTCCCTCAGAGGGTGGTAAATAAAAACACATGAAAGAAAATTAATCTGACTGCTTCGTAAATGAAATGGTAGGGTTTTCAGTGTGGTCACACGAAAATTGCTCTCTTTTCTCTTCATTATATTGCTCGCGCTATGAAAAAGAATAATAATATTTCAAATTTTTTGTTAGACACCCATGTAGTAACAAATAACGATAATAAAAAAACTAAAATGGAAGTAAATTCTGCCATGTAAAATTTTCGAGTGGGACTAAATTAAATTTAATGGACGCTTTTTATGTTCCAAAAACACTAATAAAATTAATTCTCAATTATATATTAAAGTGAATTTCAACGATTCACCTGTTCTAGAACTTTTTGTCACTGTACACTAGGAAATTAATCTTATAAATGCACTTAATTTGGAAATAGTAACCAAATCCTAGCGTTTTACAAAATCTGAAGAATTTTTAATTAGCAGCGTCTGCAACTTATAAACGTTATTTTATACGGTGCATTTTGTAAGTTATTTCTTCTACGTGTAAGTATGTCATCAGAAAAGAGAATAGATCTTCCTTTGGTTAAGAATTAATTGTAAGAAATCTTCACGAATCAGTCAGAAACCTCTTCTTGCCTAGTGACAATAAAGATTTCTCTAAAATGTCAACAAAACCCGTTTTCTCATTTGCATATCTATAATTTATATCCTAGAAACAATTAATACTTGAAAGAAGATATTTTATTACACTATTTCATCATACACTTACGATTACCTAACAACAGCTGAAACGAACGAGGAAGTAAAAGCCACTGCCATCATCTAGAGAAAGATTTTGTAACGGTAAAGCGTTGTTTAAAAAAAATTGTTGGGATGATGTTACTTTCAAGTGGTAAGCGTTTTGCTGTAGAAGACTCAGGAATGTGGATAATGCATGTGATGTTAACATTTGTCTGAAAAGGAATCTTAGATCAGCGCTATTTTCATCTTGAATTGCCAGTCAGTGGCGTCCAGAATTTATCTGCTGTAGGAGAATGTGGACATATTAAAAAACGTTTTCCTGATCGTTAAGAAAAATATACATTACTAAAATAAATTAAAAAAAGAAAAAGAAACTAAAATAAATTGAATAATTTCCTTGGCAAATGTCACCTTGTAACTGATATAGGTAATTTTCAATAGAACTAGTTGTAATGTATTGGCAACATTTGGTGACTTCTAGTGACCTTTTTGACTTATTTAATGCTGCCAATTTTAGTTATGGTTCTACATGTACTGTGTGTCTTACTTAAGAGGTAACTGGTCTCAAATAATAGAGCACTATGTTTTATACTTAATATTTAATATTATTTAAGACCACAAAATCACTTTCCTTCTTTATATACAAGGCTATCTACGATGCTAAACCGTATGAAAAAAGTCAAAAAAAGTTTGTAACCAAATTTATTGAAATTGAAATCATCCAAAATCTCCAAATCCGGAGTTTAATCACATTAAAACAAAATGAGGTTTTCATTAAAAATTTGTCTCAAATTTCTCGTTTCGATAAACATGCTCTGATTCGTTTGTTTCTACTAAAAGACAAATCAGACAAAAATGTTATTACGTTTCTTCTAAGTGAGATACACTGTATATGTCAGTGTTGCAGTTGTTTGGCGTAAGTTATTATTATATTGTGACTATTGCAGTTTGTGTTGCTTCAAATTTAACAAATAAGAGGGTCAATTTATCGTAGTTTGTATAAAAGTGTCACAAATATAGTGAATCGTGATAATGTATTGACCATTAAATTTCAGAATTTCTTCAGATGGAGAGAGCGATATGTCTTTCTAGGCATCAAGAAATCGAAACTGACAGTTCGAAAATTATTTAAACTATTTCCTAAAAAATTATTAAATCAAAATCATGTTTAAAAGTCTGTTGGCCTTCAGTGATATGGTAAATACCAAAATAAGTTTTCGAGGAACTTTAATTTAAAAATTTGGACCCAGGACTTTTTTAAGTGTTAATTTCGTACTTTCGGCCTAAGTTGTCTCAGTTTACCACAGTTCGTCAAGTGATTGTAAAATAGGATCAAATAAGTAACTGATAACAAAGTTAAGTCTCAATCCCGATATATTAAAAATAATAATTTTTTTAATCATACGTAATTCGATATTACCATTTTTTTCTACATCTATAAAATGTTCCTTTGTGACCAAGCAGAAACAGCGTCCCTTTACAGGCACCCGTGGTCGGTCTCCATCTCGCGAATCGCACCGACTTACCTTGACTTTCTACTGTCTTGGTGGTTTGAGGCAGATATTTTCTACGTATAATCTTAGTCGGTCTCGAGAATAGCGTCGAAGAGGACGGCTTCGAATGCGGTTTCGATGTTGTTGGTCGCGTCGGGGATGTCTTCCAACGATTGCCCACACGAAACAGGGGGCGGGTGAAGTTTCGGATCTGAAAAAATCGAATATTGGCAATAATTGAACTGTTGTGAAAGATGCAAAGTGATAAGTGGCTGGTTTTTGAAGTTTTAGTTATATGGTCTGAAAAGTTTAATGGGTGTTAAGAAGCATTTTGTTTTTAATAATCGAATAAGCTGGTGTGATTTTTAATAAATGTTTAAATTAATCACTAACTGCAGAATTAATTAGAATTTATTTGCATATGATTAATACCTTTTAGGGGTACATGATATTATATGAGGTGAATTACATGTGAAGATAAAGCACCACTATGATTTTGTTGTGAGTTACAAATAGGATTTATTGAGTAAAATTTATCTTTTTTATTATTTAATTATCAGATATAATTCATAATAAATATACTAATTTATTTCAGAAATACCTAATTTCTTTAACTAACAGAAAAGAATAAGTCTCTGTTTTATATTAAGTTTTATTTTTCACAGATTATGAATAAAAATTTATGCATAGTTACATAATTCCACATTATTTTACATATCAGGACATATCTGTGTAAGCCTGTGGAAGCATTTTTGGGTTCCCTATCATTAATTTGCATAATAATTTTGACAATGTTGTCTTTTATACATTTTTGAACACATAAATCTAATAACCTACAAATATTTTTTATTTTATATTTTTGTCTGAAGTCTTTCATACACTTGTCACGATATATCCTGATGCATTGCTGAGTTAAATTATGAATATAAATATGTGTAATAATAACGATTAATAAAATTACATTGTTTTTGTGTTTTTATTTATCAAAAGCCACCTGATACATATATGAATTTAACACAAAATCTGTTTAAAGAAATAACCAATTTTGTTCATAGAAATTAATTTTGTCCAGTGACTGCAAATTTTTATTTGCAGCCAGGGTTTATTAATATTTCTAACTGGATACCGCCTTCAAATAATATATGAGTAATTTTGCATTCTATGTCTTGGACAGGTTATTCAGAAGTAAATGTTGTTGGCCTTCAGTTGTGGTAGCAACTGAAAAAAAGTCTTTATAATCCAATGCAAAAACTAGGTAGCATGATTTTAAAAGTTTAATGTGCGTAGAGATAATAATCTTTTGCGAAATATTCTTGGAACAACATTTCAGTAATTAGTTTTTTATTTTATGGCTCAGAACTATACTTTCTTAAAAAACTAAATGCAATAGTACTCAAAAAATAATTAACGTTTTAACTTACTTCAAATAATTTTCTGGAGTTTTTTTTGATATATAGTTACAAACGAAATTGAAACCAAAATTTATTACATTACAGTTTGCCGGAGTTAGTTTTTAATATATTTTTATCTAACAATAAGTATATATTGTTTTAAAGTTACAAAATAGCTTTATAAATAATACATCTATCAATAAGAATAATAGCAAATGTTTTTGTAATTACATATTGTAGCTAATATGAGTTTTAGCGTATATAGATTAAATTTTTTTTTCAGCACATAAATTGTTACCAAATTTATTTTGGTATAGTGATACGGCAATCTTTAATACTGTAAATTCGATTGTTTATTTATTTTCGCAAAGTTACAAGTTTTATAACCTCATTTATAGATACTTTAGACGATTCTGACCTGAGTAAAGTTAATGTCATATTTGAGGTGAGAAATAGTAATATTACTTGTTTACTCTAAAACAAGAAGGTTTAATTTTTTATTTGTTAAAATCCAAGCCTTGTGCAAAATGTAAATAAATAATTAGTATATCTTTTCTAAAATTAAATATAATACGTTTGTTTCATAAATGAATGTTTATTTTGAAATTAATTCAGGAAATACTAAAACTAGTTTCTAGTACACGCAATTTAATAATTGGACATCGTTTCAGTTTGTTAGCCAGTTTGATTTTAAATAAATTGAAATCTTCCTTTTTCTTGTAACAGCTAACCGCCGAACACATTTTATAAATAGATAACTAATACTGTAACGGAAGATTATGCAATGTTTAATTTTTGGCATCATTGAATAAAATATAAAAGTAGGTAATGGTAACTTCAGCACAAGCAACAATTTATATTTAGGCATATAAATGGAAAAAGCGGAAAAATATTAATGAACAACAATGACGTCATCAGTATTTTTTGTGATTTGCACATTTTTCTCTATTTTTATCATGAATATTAATTAATAAAACTCATGCTACATCACGAAAAAATATTATAACATTAAAAAGTGCTTCCAAATTTTTTGATAAAATAAAATTCTTCTTAAACTAGTACATACAGGGTAGGAAAGTACCAATGGTCTATATGGACAAATAAGATCCACTTCTTATTTGTGGGAAGGGCGAAATGGGCGGTGACTATTAGACGCCTTCACTATACCCATCCGTGTCTATCACATGGATTTCTATCGCTTACTTTATCGCTCTTACGTAACTTCAGATAGACCATCGGTACTTTCCTACCTTGTATATTAATTTGTATAACAGTTTAAAAAATGTAAATAGAATTTTAAATGAATTATAGTTGAGCTAGTCTTACTAATAGTATTACATATTTAAATGTACGTAGATATTATTTCTAGATGACTGTCTTAGATAATAATAAGATACTACGTAACTCTGAACTCTATTTACCAGCCCCAGAACTGGTGAATGCAATGTATATACCGATCACTGTTGGCGTTATGAAATCTACAAGGGCTTGCCTTTTGTTATTTGTTAGTAGGTATGCGTGTGCTATTAGATATTTTTTTGAAAGCCAGAATAACTTACCATATGTCTAGAGACATTGTAATTGAGTTGATCTAAAGAAAAAATAAATTATGAAGCAAAAGTAAATAGAAAACTGACTTTTCTGTCAGTAGTCCACCTTTAATTAGTTAATGATATATGTAAGTATGTTTTAAGTATGGAAAATATATCAGTACTTGACTTTTTCAACAATACCTTAATCAAATAACAGTTGCTGCATGCAGAGAAAGTTCGCTATTAGGTATTAATTAAATATTTAGTTTTCTCTTTTCAGTTTATTAACGGACACAATTATTACCCATACGGGTTACAACAATTTTAGTACGAGGAAATATACGAAAGTTATTTCTCTAACACCCCGTAAATTACTTAGGTAGGTACAGTAAGCGTAATACACCAGATTTATATGTATTACTGACTCTAGTGTCTAGATAGAAAAGAAAGTAAAATTAAGAACAGACACAGGTCTTGGTTTGTTTTTAATATCAAACACAGTAAATATTTGGCTGTAATCTTCATAGTATCGTAACAATAATTTAGAATTATGGCAAATAGTGAATTAAATTTATCACAGACATTTAATATTAAATTTTTCAGCTGTGTATATCAATTTTTTAAAATTTTGTGTGTTCTTTTTGCCTTCTTTGTCGGTTTTTCTTGATTGGCCACAGTACAATGAGAAACATTGTTGCATGCGACTGAACAGAGTAATTCATTCAATTCGAAAATCGGTAGAAGACACCAACAAGGAAGACAGTGATGTAAAGGCAAGCAGTTAAATGGTGCCAATAATTAATTACTTTAATATTACGCTTGTTTACAGATCAAAGTGGTTTTTCGGATCTCGGCGTTAACTTTCCCAAGAAAGCTTTTTTGTTTGAAATGTACCCAGCGTAAAGCTCGCAAACCGTTCTAAACGTGAATTAGGATACAAGAAATTTAATTGAGTTCTTTTTTCCGTACCGCTCTGTTATATAATTGCTAGTTTTTATACGGTTTTTTCTAATTTGTTGTACTTCATAGTTATGGACATCAAAACCGCCAATTACAGAATACCGTTTTTCGAGAAACATCCTACGCTTTTTTATTTTGAACACTGGTCTTAGTTGTACCTTATAGAAAAAATTATGTGTACAGTATTGCTGATATAATTATTACCAAATTATCAAATGTTATGTAATAGAGTAGAGATGCATATTCTATTTTTTTAACAAAATTCATATTTTTTTCCAGTTCAGATTTTAAAAAATCCCTGAAACTGGTGAATTAGTAAACAGAAATTGTCATTTTTCTGCAATATTTTCCTTTAAGCTATGTTTGGCAGACTATAATAAGTTTCACTAATCTGTTGTACTTTAAAAAAAAACATCCTCTTACTTGACTGTTTACTAAATAGTTAATTCCACTGCCAAACTTCTACAGGATGTTTCTTGTTAAAAGGGTCAAATAAACTGAGGATCAGTTCTGACTTGTTATGAAGATATGTCAGTTTGAAGACGTCCTAGCTGGCTTTTTTGCAAAAATTTAAAATATATACGCCCAAAGTGTACACTTATCCACTGCGTACGGTACACTAACCCTACAGAATGTCAAAAAAAATTGTACATACCGATGTAAATAAGTTTGCGTCTGAAATAGCTCCACCCACAAATGCACACTTGACACGGCAAAGGACACGCTTCAGTGTATTCGTACATGCGCTATCCCAAATCACCGCGCTTACGTCTTATTCTTTCTAACCGAATGTGATCTTTCTCGGTCTTGAGCAGCTCTGTCCGAGTCAGAAACTGGGGATGATATTTAGTCCCCTTAAAAGCCACCATTTTCCACTTTCAGTTTTAGTGAAATTTTACATACGATATATTAAAATGTTACCTTGGATTCAGTTACAATAAAAAAATTATAATTCTCGTATTGTCAATTAAAACATTTCTTCTCAAATATCCTGAAAAATCCTTTTTTTTAATGTACCTCTAAGGAATATAGCTCCTTTACAGCTTATTTTAGAGAGAATTGTTTCCCATTTTGAAGAGTACTACAATCAGTCCAAGTGTATTAGTTTGACATTCTAATCCTTAACTAAGGAGGAATTTCTTGCAACATATTTTTTCTGATTGTGGATGTAAAAATTATGTTTATTATATCGATAGCAATTTTCCTCTGCGATAGTTTTAACAATTGAGTAACACTGAGAGTAGTTACATTGAAGTAAGAAATAAACCCCACTCTCCACCTTAAAAGTAAGTTTATTGAACCATTGTTATGGCACACAGAAAAAACACAAGATAAGAAAAATGTGCAGATATATTACAAACGTGCTCATTATTTACAACAATTTATTCACACATACAATTAAATTAAAACATAATATAATATAACAACGATCTTATGTATATACATAACATAATAATACTATAAATTATACCTATTTACCTATAATTCTCTGTAATTAAGTCTGTTTTATTTTATCTATATGTACTTCAATCCTTTTTTTTTATGTATATTCAGTATATTTTGTATCTTGTGGCGTTACTCTAAGTACTGGTAAGTTATCGGAAATCCTCTTCGACATCTCAACCTTTATTGGAACGATTTTTATGGTGTCTAAATTAGATTTAGGTCGCACTTCAACAACCTTTGCCCTCAGGGTGACCTCTTTTTCGTCTTGTTTCAACAGTTTGATGGGAAGCAGTTTTGAATTGTCCCTTATTGCCTTGCCAAAGTTTTCATCCGGGTGTAAAACTCTAACGTTGACGAACTTCGAGTGCTCTGTTTCTAGTAACTCGTCGTAAGGCACGGTTTTTAGGCCGCTGGTGGGTTGTGTCGATTCAGTTTGGAATAGTCCCTCTAAAGCAATGGTTGTCGCTTCAGTGAACACAGCTCTAGGCGTTATCACGTTAATATGTGACATTCCGTCGATTATTTCAGTTTTCTTATCAGATGCTACTTGGTTGTTATTGCCTAAGTCGTCCGTTTTGCTAGGATTGTCGTATTTCCTATCCTCTCTAGAATGTGTATGTAGGAGTTCAGGTATTTTCTCTATAGTGACTGTTACATCTGTTAGATTTATATTTCCGGTAACTTTTGGTCCGGGGACTTCTTCCACCTTGGCAGGAAGTTCAATAAATGGCAGGTCGGGAAGTGCTGGCAACTCTGATTTTTCTGTTGTTACTGTTTCCGGAACGTATACAGGAGATATTGGTTCTGTTTGTTTAATTTCGTTTTCTTGTGAATTTATAGTCTCTACAATGGTGTCGTTTCCATCCACTACCTTTATGACTGTAATCCTATTGATTTCTCCTATTTTATCAAGAACTGGCTGTATGACCTCTGCTGTTGGTTGCTCTTGTAAGACATGATTTTTTCTTTTAGCCTCTTTTGTTTGAACTTGAACAATTCTGTTGACTTCGATCAACCTTTCGATCTTACCTGTAGTGGATGTAACTGATGAATTAAGTGACTCCGTGGTAGTTTCGATATTGTCAGTTTCATTTTGTTTGACTTCTGCAAATATATGGTGAAGAGTGGTTAAGTATTCTGTAGTTTCAGCAGTGGTGGTTGCTTTGGTTACGCTTTCAGTTGTAAGCGGACTTAACGTAATATACTCTTGTGGGTTAGTCGTTACTTCCAAAGAATTATCGATGTTGGTGGTCACTTCTGCGGTCGATTCTTCTTCTACAGAACTTGCTGATACTGAATTAATTGGAGAGTTTGTCTTTCGATGTTTTGAGAACAAATTTTTGTTTCTATTTTTCACAGCATCTGTATCAATGCCGGTTAAATCCTCAGCAACTTTAGGATTTTCTGTAGTTTTTCCGAAGATTGGTCTGTTCACTACCCTTGCGGTTGTTGATCGTCCAGTAAATGGACTATTACTTCGTACAGGTGAGTTTGAGCGTCTACTTCCTATAGGCGTGTTACTAACTCTAGCAAGTTTAGGCTTCTCCAGTCTTGTATTGTAATTATCAACTGAAGACTCTGAAGAAGTGTTAATTTCCTCTTTGTCTTCTAAATTTTCCTCCAGTTCATCTTCTTGTGTTAATTTACCGTCATCAGAATTGCCAGAATCTTCATCTTCACTGGCTTCTTCAATGACACCTTCTTCGTCACCGACATTGTTTACTTCAGTTGTACTGTGCGTGAATATATATTCCTTTATAGGGATCGCTGGTGTAGCATGATAGACGTTATTTATTCGCTCCTTGAATGCAGGAGCATAACTTCCTGAATACTGTGGTAGTTTTTCTTCCTTTATTTCCTTTTTATCTTCCTCTTCCTGAGGTTCTTGAATATCAGCATCTTTTTCAATAGGCTCAGGTGTCCTAGTCGTACTGTATCTATGCAAAAGTTTATTTACGGATGTAGAAGTGGTACTTTTTTCAGTGCTACTGGGTATGTTGGAAATATCTGAAGAATCAGGTGTAACACTTTCTGTTGTTGATTTCTGATAACGGTTCCTATAAAACTTGTTCTTCTTCTTGTAACCGTCCTCGCGTTGTTCAGTTGTTGATGAAGCTCCATAAGCATTTTTGCGCCTTATAGGAGTAAATTTGGGCCGAGAGTTAATAGGTTTTAAGGTACTTCTTCTTCGATATGGTGTTGTAGTTTCTGGAGACACAGTGGTAGTTTCAGTTTTGGTTTCATTATATTCAGATACAAGTAACAAATTGTTGGTCGTTGTCGAAGGTATTTCAGTGGTAGTATCTAAGGGTTCCAAAGTGTTGTCTGTTGATGCAGTAATAATATTTGAATTTTGTTCAGTCTGTTCCGAAATATTTACTGGTTCTGTTGTACTTAAAATAGAGGTGCTGGCAGTAGTTTCTGCTTGTGACGATGAACTGTCAGTAATAGTTGACACCTCTGGTTCCAGAGTAGGGACTTCCACTGTAGTTAATTCAAAGGTATTTTCTGTACTGTCAGTATTTAGTTGTGTAGTAAATTCAGTGTCGAGATTTGTACTGGTGGCAGTTGATTCGTCATTGAGGGTTGTTTCCGCTAAGGTGCTGCTTTCTGTTACACTATTTTCCACAGATTTGGTTGGAATACTTTGAGTTGTTACTATATTTTCTTCTGAGTTAAGAATGTGCAAAAATGTTGTTGTACCTTCTAAACGGGAGTCATCTTCGAAATATGTGTCATTTTCCTTATCACTTTCCGCACTAATGACTTCCGGGAAAGCTGTAGTTCTTTCTAAAGTTTTATATTTATAACGGTTACTAAATAAAACCTTATTGACTGGCTTATCTGGAGTACCATTTTCATCCGTGTCGTTGAATGTATTAATTTTTATGGTTTCTTTTTCTAACCTTTTCGTCGATAATCTTGAAAACGTCTTATATTTAGGTCGTGGTGTTTGTCGTTCTGTAGTAGATATTGTAATTTTTGGTCTAATAAATGACGGTCTTTGAGGGCGGTACAATTTGTTTTTTATTGACGACGTTTCTACTGGATGTGCTTCAGTGATTTCGTCAAACACTTCATTTGGCGAGTAAGAAAATCCACTTTTATATTCTGTACTAGTGTCTCCTACTAATTTGCTGTCGTCATCAAATTTATAAAAATCGTCGTCGTCGTCATTAAAATGAATTTTGCTATATTCAGTGTGGTCCTCAAATTTTATTTCGTCATTAAAAAATTCTTTATCCTTGTCCTCGAACAAATCTTCAAATTTAGGTGAGTCCATGTCTGTCTCAGAATCAAAATCTTTGAAGGAGTCACTTGTAGATGATGATCTGAAAATCGAGATATAATTTCTATTTTCTTTTCCTGGCTCATCGGATGCATCTTCGTCGTCCTCGTTATCATTTTCATCTTCTCTGTCATAATGGTCAGTATACTCCTGCATATTATCTTCCGTTGTTGAAGAATCGGTGGTCTGGAAGTTATGTAAAGTTGTACTTATTCCTATTTCTTCCTTTGATTCTTCAACATTGGGTGTTGTTTCATTAATACCATCTGATTCTTCAGTAAATTGTGTTGTAGCACTGTCTTCTGTTGCGGCGTCTGATACATTTGTTGAATCTTCGGCTGCAGTAGTCAATATGTTGTTTTCGACAAAGTAATTGCTAGTACTGCTTTCAACAGTTTTTATGGTTGTGAGAGAATTATCTATAATGTTGGTTGTTTCTGTACTATCTCGAGTTTCAGTATCATTTAGATTATTTTCCAAGATATTCAATTTTTGTGTAACAAACTGCTTAGAAATAGAATCTATTTGAACGCTGTCTGTAGATGAACTGTCTTCAGATTTGGCGGATGTAGTGTCAAAGTGTTTTTCACTAGCTGTCTCTTCGTTTACTGCTTCCTGCTCAGGAGTAGTGTCATTCTTTGTACTTTCTGTAGTATTTAGTATCTCATTTTTAACCGTGGTTGATCTTACGAATGGTTTAAAAGGTTTTCTTTCTCCTTTGTATTTACTTCTTAAATCAGACACTTTGGGCCTGAAAATGTGTTTCGTAGAATCCTGTCCGTCATTGTTTAGGTTAGCACGAGTGGAATTTCTGTTTGATAGTTTTCGGAAGGATACTCTCACTGGCGGTTTTATATCCTCAGTTGCTTCTGTTGACGTGTCTTTTTCTACGTTTGCTTTTATGTATTTACTTTTAGGTCTTGTTAAAGAGGGCCTGAACAGGCGTTTCGGCGTTACTTCCTTTTCTGTGCGGTTAATATTATCTGAGGATATATTAAGTTTGTCTTTTGCAATTGATTCTTCAGTCTGAGTTTCATTACTGACATTAAGTTTACTTATTTCTAAGTTGTTTTTTGCGGCAGATGTAGGCCTAAGCCTACGAATTACTTTACGCTTACGACCATTGGTGGGTTCTGTAGTAGATATTTTAGCAGTGAGAACAGTTGCTGTTGTAGGCTTCAGTTTTCTAATGATTTTTCTCGTTCTAAAGCTAGGTTGAGTAGATGTTGTACTTACTTCTTGTTTTCTTGTAGTAGTAACATTTTCTGTAGTGGTTTCTTCAGGTACCGCCTCTGTAGAAGTTGCTTCCGTACTGTTTTGTGTAGACACTTCTAAGGTTTTGTTCTCTGAAATTTTCTCTGTTGTAGTTGCTTCTGTTATTGACAGAGCTCCTTTTCCTGATTCTATTTTCCCCTTTTCAGTATTTTCTTTGCCATGCAGGATATCAGATTTGGGTCTTATTAATTTAAACACCCTTTGTTTTCCTCCTATGTCATAACTGTTTACGTCACTATTTTCTCGGATGTTGGATTCCGATAATTTTATATTTTCTCCTTCTTCTGTGCTGGAATCTTCAGCGCTGTCATCGATGTCTTCATCGACATCATTTTTTTGGATTACAAAAGGTAATCTGGTTGGTTTTTTGCTGAATAGTTTCTGTAAAGGACTTTGTTTGTCATTTTGTGTACCAACTGTTGTGTTTTCACTTGCTTCTGTGCTATTTCCAATTTTTGCTGCAAAGGTCCGTCTTCTAAAGGCTTGTATTTCACTTGAGGACTTACCATTTGAGTTTGAATCTTTGTTAAGAACAGATCTTGGTGTTGTAGTTCTAAATCTTCTTACTACTCTGCGGCTTCTAGGTGTCACATTAACAGTTTGAGGTGACGGATTTTCATCGAGTTTAGAAAGGGTATCAGAGCTTTCAGTTGTCGACGGTTGCCTTGTTGTTCTAGATCCAAACCCGCGAATCTTTTTCGTAGTATTTAACTCCGAACTTGAGTTGAGCTGGTCGATTTTTTTTGGAATTATTCTTCTGCTTGGTCCAAGAGGTGAGTTTTCAATTAATTTTCGTGCTAAAGGTAAAGTTCTTGAACTCGTCCTCGATGATTCATCCGCGACTTCCTCGATAGAGTCTTCTGTGGTAGTAGCAACGGTGGATAAAGTATTAGGTCTTCCTCTACGCTTGTGAGTTCCTCTTCCGAAATTTAACTCTTTGATTTTTGCGAAATCCACTGCAGTAAGAGAAGACAAATCAGCTAATTCCGAAGGTCTAAAGGTTCTGTTTTCTTCAATATACTTTTCAGTTGTGGATATACGTTTACGAACTTTGACTTTAGAATCTACTTCTTCTTCCTCTTCTTCGGTGTCTTCTACGTGTTTTTTAATATTTTGACTACCTGAAGTAAATCTTGAAGTGCCCCTATTTCTAAATCTGTAGGTATTTTTTAAAACAGGAGTTTCTGATGTGGAAGTGTGATCGCTACTAGTATCGTGTGAATCCAATGTTTTCGGTTTTAACCGAAATTTAAAATTTGATTGACTCACCTTTGAATTTTGAATTGTCGGTTCAGTGACTGACCTCACCGTACTGCTTGCATCGCGCGAAAATACTGAGAATGGTCTTGGGTCTAAGAGATGTGGCTGATTCTTTTGTGTGGTTTCTGTCTCATTGTCTGTGGCGTCTGCCGCTGAAGAGTTAGAAGTATTTTTCTCGGGAGTTTCCGTTGGATCATCCGGTTTCTTTATTTCGATAGGTTGCTCTGAGGTGCTGCTTGGAACTTCACTTTTGGCTGTTGACGAAGGTTCTGATGTTATTATGTCGTCGACTATATTTGCAAGAGTCGTGATGTTATTTTCATCATTAGATAATGTTGTTGAAGCTTGGGTGGAAGTTCTGAAATATGTATTTCTGTAAATAATGTACCTAGAAATGTTTGATATTTACTTACACGAGAGGAGGGCCAGTTACACTTGCAGAAATTGTTGCAACTGTATCTATTTCGGGCTGGGTAGTGGTTGAACTTCTGTTTATAATTTGATATCTGAAACAAAATGATGTCAAAAGTAAAACAATATAAGTTTAAATAGTATTATCTGTGTCACTGAATATTGTACTACTTACCCAGAGGTATTTATTTCTGAAGTTTCTGTGGAGCTTCGTGTTACTGTACTGGATCTGTAAAGGAAAATGTAAATATTTTCATATTGTTTTATGGTATTTTTAACATTTTTACCTTGGTGTAACGTCATTTTCATCGTCTAAGGGTGTTGTGACACTAGCTTCAGTACTGCTTCTGGAAAACGAAACAGTAATGTTATTTTCTTCCTCACGATTGGGGAATACAAAGAATTTAATCAATGGTAAGGTAATACATAATTTACTTACGAAGAGGTTACATTTTCAGAAGCATCGGTTGCTTTTGGAGTGGTAGATCCACGTCTAAAGTTCTTAAATCTGTAAATTAGTAATTATTTGTTATTTGGAAAGCATATCTTATGCAGTAATTACCTTGATGTAGCTCCATCTGTTGAGGGGGTGGTGGAAGCTGTTGTACCTCGCCTTAATTGGAACCTATTAACAAATGAATTCGTATCAAAATTCAGTTTTGATAATGATTTAACTGACCAACGAAATAAATAAATATCACATTTGCTTACCTGGAACTAGAACTTTCCTGCTCTGTAGTTGTTGTAGGGCTTAAAGTAGAACCACGTCTTATAGTTTTGTACCTAAAAAATATTATGCTTTTGTAAGATATATCATAATTGTAGTAATAGTAGATAAGTGAGGCGGGTTCTGCGCCACACTAAATGACGTCACGAACTCGATGGCCAGTGTCCATTGCTCCTTTAGCGGCTTCTTGTGGGCATTGTCGTTGTGCAAGAGATGCGTGGGTGTTGGCATGCAAGAAGTATCATGGTGGCATGGAAGTAACGGCACTGGCTTCTGGAGTGACCCTAAAGAGTTCTTGAGCTGGATGGTGACATACAAGAAGTGTCATGGCGGCATGGAAGTGACATCATACAAGAAGTGTCATGGCGGCATGGAAGTAACGGCACCTGGCCAGTTGGCGATAAATTTAAAATTTAAAACATCATTCTTATCCGGTATTGCATCATTCGAGGTCAAGGTCACCTCAATTTAAGACCTGTTTTCTACTGGTTCAGACCTGTTCCATGCCGCCATGACACTTGTATGTCACCATCCAGCTCAAGAACTCTTCGGGGTCACCCCAGAAGCCAATGACGTTACTTCCATGCCGCCATGACACTTCTTGCATGCCAACACCCACGCATCTCTTGCACAACGACAATGCCCACAAGAAGCCGCTGAAGGAGCGATGGACACTGGCCATCGAGTTCGTGACCTCATTTAGTGTGGCGCAGAACCCGCCTCACTTATCTACTAATAATACTAATAACATTTCAAAAAATGTTGTTCCTATTTAATTTGATCTTTGAATTACATTCTTACATTTAAAGTTAAACCTAGTGTAAGTATTACAATGAGTCAAACTGTTTGAATTAATAGAATTTTTGTACACTTACTTCGATGTAGTAGTTTCTTCATTTGCTTCAGATGCAGATTCGGTCGTAGAACTAGATCCCCTTCTTATTACTGTGTACTTAGAAGTCGTACTCTCTTCAGTTGAAGTTGAGGGTCTTTGTCTTCTTATATTTACATACTGAGGTGTGTGCTGTTTCTTAATATGTTCATCGTCCTCTACTACATCGTCGTCATCGTCCTCATCTTCGTCAGAATCATCATCATCATCGTATTCTTCATCGGACGTCTCGCCAAGGATCTTGTTTCTATTTAGTGAGCTGGAAATAAAAAAATGCAGTATAAATAAATTTTTTGTTAACGAAAATACATTGCTTGATACTCGATTGCTAAATGATTTTTCATTCTTAAATGCAAAATTGTATGTTTTTCATACTTCCAAAGAAAATTTTGGATATATTCTAAATGTAGATTACCTGTCAGCTTCTGTTGCTTCAGTGGTACTGCTAACTCTGGGCCTCCTAATCGTTACATATTCAGGCTGGAACTTTTTACTGAAAGTTCGTCTAGTTTTGGCGTTATCTTCTTTAACTTCCTCTTCCTCTTCCTCTTCGTCATCTTTGTCTTCTTCGATAGATTTTTCGGTACTGGGCCTGCACACATAATAAATTTTTCGTTATTTCATCGCAATAATAACAATAGTTTTATCTATTTATAGTTTAATGTAAATTTATACCTTTTCCTGGATATTGACGTATATTGCAACTTTCCCCTGTCAGTTTTACTGGATGATGAAGGCGACTCATCTTTTCGGCTGAGGCCATCGTTTTGCGGTCCTCTACTGTTGCGGAGTGTTGTGAGACTGGAAAATATCTGTATTTTATTCATCATTTGCTAACAATTATCTAAATACTTACGGATTTTTCTTCGAATTTAATGTATTTTTGACCGCCTTATTAAGAACTCTTTCGTACAGTGACTTGCTAATTCCAGATGGTGTTGTCGAGTCCGAACTAGGATTAGTTACACCAGTTTTTGAACCGCTGAGCTGTTTTTCGAGTTCTTCGATTCCTCCTTTATTAAAAAAATTAGTAATGTTAATAATTGTTTGTACCTTCATGCCACTGGTTCAATGAAGTCTTTTAATATAATTTTTCATTATAGACGGTTTACGCAATTTACAGTGGCCTAAAACTTTACCTGCTTTCTTAATCAGTTCAATCAGTTCCTTAATAACCCTAGGATCTTCTTCTGGATCAACTTTGCCCTTATCATCTTTTTCATCTTCTTCATCATCTTCGTCTTCGTATTCGTAATCGTCCTAAACATAAATTAAGGCATATTATTAAGATAACTTTCCTTATAAAATATTTTTCACATAAATGTTATTTAGGAATTTTGCTAAATCCAAACTAATAAAATTGTACAAGCATTGATTTTCTCATTTAAATATAGTGAAGATTACACTTACTTCGTAAGCTTCTGTCGTAGTAGTTACTTTAAATGTCGTTCGACTAGTCGCTGCTGTAATTTTTGGTGGTGCTCTTGAAGTGGAGAAAATGGTTGAGGCGGGCGTGGTCGATGCACTGGATGATGCAGTTGTCGTGGTTGACGGCTTTTGCAATTTCTTGTTGCAAAGAACATTTTGGGTATAGTCACAAGAATCTGCCGCTTTGTTGAAGTATAACCCTACACAGAGGAAAAATTATAGTTTAAACATTGCTTGCTGAAAACCATACGAAATAGACACATTTAAGGTTTGATAAAAATTCGTCTACCTGCTGGACAAGTAAATTGATGAGCAACAATTCCAGAATCACCAGCTCCACTTAGACACCAGAAATACTTTTTGCAGTCTTTGGGATGTGGGAAGAAACCTTCATCTTCACATTTAAAAGCTGGAAAAAAGAAACAACGATTAATGTCATTGTCATACTGTTGCAATCTCTGTGTTTATTTATTGCCAAACAGTTTAGTACAGTTTTTATTGTAAAGGTGATTTGCATAACTATGAGAAAGTATTTTTATTCAAACATTATCTTGAAATTTGGAGGTTAATTAATACTGACCTCCATCTAATTCAGGTGTTGAAGGTGGGGCTGGTGTGGTATAACTTGGGGTGACCACTTTTAGACTGCTATGGGTGGTGGGCACTTCTGTTGTCGTCGCTCGCAATTCCTTCCTTCGGTTTTTCTGTCTGGTACTTTCCCGACCTTCTTCTTTGGCTTTCGATTTAAATCTGTAACGGTAAATAAGAAAAGTAATATATGATTCCTTGCATGATGATGTATGTAGTATGCTAATAATAATATTCCTTGTTACCTATTTCGCCTACGGCTTCCACCGGAATTCGACACTTTTTCTACTTTGGCCTCTTCCTCGACTTCCGTTTTAGCCTTTCCAGTGGGTTTGGATCTTGGTCTACTCCTGCTCTTAGGTTTGGTTGGTGGAGATATCAGATTGTCGTCTGTAAGCCTGAAAAAGTAAATACAATTTATGTATATAAGTTCCTAACCTCTTCAGAGGAGTATTCCTCTTACCCGTAAGCGTTCATTAAAGCTTCCTTTGCAGCTTCTATTAAGGGGTAAGGCTTGCCATGACAATTACCCCTGAAGTCGTCGTTGTCTATGGCCCAAAACATAATCCCTCCAAGTCCATTTTCTGCCACGTATTCGGATTTCTTCCTGACGATTTCTTCATCATCGTACCCTACCCATTGGTTGTCTTTAAAGGCGTAAGGACCCATTGCTGTAGGATTTGGTTGTTCCACCTCCCAACCTTGATTTTTGATATTGTCGCAAATCTGGAAGACATTTTTTTTACTGTATCTTTAGCAACAACATAAATAGAACAGCCAGTATTGTGCATGAACAAAATTTTGTGTAGAAAAATTAAAGCGAAATCATGAATGTAAAAAAATTGTTAACTTTAGATTTATTTATATTGTTTTTTTTCCAACTGTTGTATTTATTAATTGGGTACTTGTGCCAAAAAAATATTGATTGAGAAATTGATTTATAGGGACATTTTCTTTCAGTGTTTGTGTTAATTATAAGTATCTAGATTTCCTATAAAAATAATCGAAATACAACGAAGTGATTTTCTTAGATTTATTTATTTTTTCATTAAAACAACCGTGATAACTTAATGTGATGGGTATTTTGTTTATAGTGTTTATTTCTGTATGTATTTTTTTACTTGATCTGTTAATAACCTTAACATTTAAAGTATTTAACATAGTTGTGGCTTTTAAGGTATTGGTTTCGCAATGAAAGCAGCACGTCTGGTATCGCAAATAAAGGACAACTCTGTTTCACATTGCAAATATTTTTCTTATTAGAGCGTTAGCAAATATTACCAATGTTTTACCTCATAGTACGCCAAGTAGCCATTTTCTCTAGTGGCTTCGCCCATATCCCCAGGTCCATCAGCAGGAGATCCGATTTCAAAAGCGTCTGGATTATACAGAGTGTACGATCTTCCGTACGTAGGGATACCTAAAATTAGCTTATGCGGATCGGCACCAAGTTTCATGTAGTGTTTAACTGTGTAGTCCTGAAAAAAAAAAAATAGTATCAAAAGCTGGATATACAAACATTTGATGTTTTTGAAAATACAAATGTTTCCTGAATAACAATTTACTCTTTTAGTTAAGTGGAACTGACTAATCTGGAATACAAGTAGACCCTTAAGTTAAATTGAAACGTTGCTATCTAATACGTTTAACCAAATTAATTTCATGATGGTTAGGCATTGCCACTGCTGAGCAATATTTTACCCATCGATAATGGAATTAATGACAGCTTTATAACATCCATTAATGAATGAATTAGTTGCCAGCTAGATTGCGGTTCCAATTACCAATACACTGTGGGAATATCACCAATATTTTCTGTTTCTATGGTTAAACGATGTTTTGCAATTGTCAAAATTAATTTATTTTTTCCCGCTGCCTGGAAATCAGAATTTATGTAATTCATTCAGATTTACTATTTTTAGATAGTTAGCGTTAACTCTGTATTCGACAAATGCGTGTCAGGAATTAGGGTAAAAAAACTTTTTATTAATCTTTGCCGTCCACCGCAAGACCAAATAGAAAGTTTAAGTAGCAGATCTTTTTACGCAGTAAACAATGTCGGTAAATTGTTTTAACCACCACAAATTCGATTTACAACCGAATTAGTTTGAAGACAAAGTTGTAATTGTGGCGGAGTCATATAAATTCCTCGTAGCAATATTTTCAGTAACAGACTATTGCAATGGATAGCTGATAGTCTGTTAGATGAATATTGCTCTTGATATATTTTTAAAACCCTTAATTAAGTACAGCAAATTATTCATTTAGTAAGAGAAATTATTTAATGACATTGTTAAAAAGAGGCTTATTGAAACTGTTGGTGTTTTATTTTTTGACTCTCGCTTTTCAACACACCTTTTCTCTTAATATGTGGGTCCGTTCTCTAAGAAGTCCCAAAGTATCGCGGCGTTTGCACTTGCCATTGTCGCATTTAGGAAAGGTTTACCAAGTAAGTCTCCTTAGTCGTAACTACAGAAAACTGGAATATTTACTATTGTTTCTTCAATCGACGGTAACCCTCGTACTCCTCATTTCATTTGTTTCTCTTGAGTCTGTTCTGGTATTGAGTGCTCAGTATTTACAATGTTTTTTTATGAACGCTTACTCTGGTTCTAAAAAAACTGTTCCAAATCCTCTTTTTGTAAGATTATCTACGTTTTCATTTCCTCAGTATTTCTAGTCTTGGTATTCAATATAACCACGCCGTTATTACTTTAGTACTTGTTAGGTAGCCTCCATTTTTTCACTGCATTGTATATCGACTGCTATTTCCCTCAATTTGTTTGTTATTTTTTATATGACTGACATGATTGCTTGCTTCTCTTTCCAAAACAATATGAAGTGGCGGTAGATTTAAGAAGACTTCCAATGTAGCGGTTGAAGTGGATGACATAACTCATGTTATGTCGATGGAAAACTGTCTCTCAAATTCAGTCTAAGTCTCACCATCGCACTATATTTATAAAAAAAAACTTTTTGGTGTCAGTTTAATTAACTTTCCACAGTTTTAGTTTCCTCATTATGAACTGTAGATATCTGATATTGAAAGTATGCTTTGAAAAATCCAAACAAATGAGATTCTGATGGCTCTAAGTTTGGGCAACGAGATGGCTGTTGCAACACGTATGTAACGTCAGAAAAGATGCTCAGTGAAAAATTGGCCAAAATCTATACTAAAAACCATTTTTTTTAAACTTTTTTCAAAAAAATAGCAACAAACATTTTTTGTTGTTATTATAAGAGAGATTGATTGTTTATAACTAACTATTCCTTTTGTTTAGTAACGTTTTCGCATATTTGAACTTGTAGATATGAGTTATTTGGATGTTACTAGGGTTAGATTTTCAAATAATGTCATCACATATAAAAAGTGCAAACCTTCGTCTCTCTTTAGGGGAGCAATTGAAAAAAGAATATATGTATTTATACAGCACTACATTAGACTTGGAATTGTTGTCACATCAAAATTTTAAACGAATTTTTCATCACGTAGTTAGAGGTAAACCGAGCTGTTGGGAATTTAAGGCAAGTGGCTAAACTATTTATAAAATTCACAAACAGAAAGGTCAACTACTCGAGAGGCTTTATTTGTCATATTAGTCATCATCAAGGCATTTGTTTATTCCAAAAATTCTTTGGTGTTTCAGTGCATGTTTTCGTAATAAATTTTAGTGATTCGAAACTCATAAATTTACAGTTATTGCAATACTTGAATTAAATGCACCACAGCAGTAAAAAATAATTGAAAATACAAAAACTTTAATTGAAAGTTGTTCTAACTAGTCTTTTGCCTTAGATAGTTTTTTAAAGATCCAAATATATGATGAAATAATGAAATGGTAAAAGAAAGAAATGATATACTATTTGATAAACTTTTTTTTCTATGCTGTCCCAGATACTTATTTTCTTGAATCATTTATCTTATTTTGACTTAAAATATTTTAAAGGCTGATCAAAATATGGCATCAGTATTCAAATACCAAACTATAGTTTGCGAAATACAACGTTTCTAATAGGTCAGTGACTTGAATAAAACTTAATTACCCTGCTATTGTTTCTATTTGTTATTGAGTATCTTCTAAATAACAATTATCCGTAATCAATATTTGACGTGGACAATAGATAGGCAATTTAGAAAGTGCACTTTCTTCAGAGTACAGTTATAATTATTTCAATTGAATTATGAGAGTAATATACTTGAATGGGCAGCAGCTATGAACATGGGAATTTCATTGAAATTTAATCACTACTTTTTTTTATCTTAACCGCTTTGTCGAGATTGACTGTGAAACGTAAGTTAAACACATCCTCAAAGTTGGTTTAATATTCCAAGTGCACTTCCTGTTTTTCCTTTTAAATAGTTGTAGCAACAAACAGTTTAGGATCTGGAGATTACGTTTGTTATTCCTTGAAATTATTACTACGTTATTATCAATATTATTGTATTAGGTATGTTATTAAATAATTGTGGCGTGAAAAAGACTTTTATAGCGAAAAAAGAAATATTACTTACTATATTCAGTTCTGCGTCATAATTGTATTCGTTGTCTTCCTCCATCGAGAACAGTGGAGCATGGTGGTTCACAGCAGGTTCAAACGCTGAGTGGTAATCGTAACTTAGAATGTTCATCCAATCCAAATGTCTAAAAAATATATAACAATTGAATGAAATGTAAATTAAGGAGATAATTTAGGATTATTACATATTAGTATTGTGTACAAACTTAAACTTACTTCATTAGTTTTGGTACATCGTATCCTTTATTAATGTACTCTATACCTGCTGGAACAGCCATGGTTAGAAGAAGTCGTGGTCGTCCAGTCTTCTCGGATTCTCTGTCGAACTCTTCTCTCAATTCCTAAAAGCCAATATAAATTCAAATCGACCTTCAAAGCACCTTATATTCATAAAACGTTATTTCTAGATGCACAATATACCTATTTTCATTTATAACAAAAAACTAAATGTCTTACTAAAAACATTTTCTACTTATATTTAAGATAATACATTTTGAGTTCAAAATTTATCTCAATTTTGAAAGCCATGATGGAAATATTTCATATAACAATGAAGTACTGTGTGCAATAAAATTACTACTTTCCTTGTGCAAATTTATGCTTCTCATAAAGGTTAAATTCACTGCAATCACTTGTTCTTAGCAACACGTGTTACAGCCTTGTGCTCAGGCATGTGATTTTTATGAAATATCTTTTATAAGCGATACTCAGAATTCAGTAACAAGGAACGTTTTGTTACAAAACATCTCCCCATGTTTAATTATAACAAAAGCGATTTAATTGATTTATTTTCAAATGTATTTCAAAATTAGTTTTTTAATCACGTTGCTATGATATTATTGTGCTGAAATGGTGTAGCCTTTGTATTCGCTAAGCAACAAATAGCATTAGATTTTTATCAATAAAAGCCACTGTTTCTTAACGCGTAAGAATAAAGAGATGTTTTATACAAAGAAGAATAAAAGCAAGATCTAGGCTAGCTGAGCTATTCAATGTTTCATTTTAATCCCATCCTTTTTTTATGTATAAGGACAGTGATACATCATATATGGGAGTGCAGTATTCACTCCAATCATTCCATTACTGTTGAATATAAATTTCTGAAACTTTTCTATTGTGTTTGTTAACATGAAAAGTAGATTTACTTAAATTTATGAAGAGATTTTTGTGACTCTTCTTATAAAATACATCAAACTGTAATAATTCTAATAGTATCAAACTAATCTTTACCTCTACGAGTTGGGCGTAATTGTCTCTGTCTCTAGGCTTCCCACCGTCCCTAAAAGTGGGATATTCCCAGTCCAAATCCAAACCGTCAAAGTGATTCTGCCTCAGAAACTTAATGGTATTCTTTACTAGTTCCTTTCTTCTTTCTGAGTTAGCCACCATGGGTGAAAATCTGGACGAACCTTCATTCCATCCTCCAATAGCCAACATGGTCTTCAGATTTTTGTTGTAGGTTTTCAACCCTGTGAATTTCGCATACCCTCCTGTAACAGAATAAAAATCGAGTAGGTAGAGGTAAATTACGGTAATTATTTTTAGATTGGATAAAATTATGTTTATTATTAGGCGTAGCACCCACACCTGGTCTATCAAGTTTGGGAAGAAGCTCTTTAGTATGGATTTCAACACACTTTGCACCACTTCTATGGGGTGTTGCAATGTTCTACGTGCTCTTCCTGTTTTTCGTCATCAAATTCTCATTTGTTTGCAAATTTTAAAAAATATTTGCAATGTTTGAAGTAAGCAAGTCAATTGAGACTGCAAAATTGGTTTAAATCTGCACCAAAAGGTTTTTTGTAAAGAGAATTTGGTAGGTTAGGATCAGGTGGACCAAAATTGTTGCAAAACAAGGGTACTAGAAAATTAAGATACAATTTGTCTCATTTAAGTACTTTCTATTGTAATACGAGTATGCTTCTATATGTCGACCTGTTTTAGAATATTCATAAAACTTTTTAATATATGCATTACAAATAGATAGCATTATCTTGTATCGAATACTCCATTTAGTTGATTATCCCACGACATAATTTTCATGAAACTGTACATTTCATCACGACTTCTTTACCGTTATTAGAAAAAATTCAAATTCAACTCATGCACGTGCTAATTTTCTACTCTGTGTAATGTTCTAGTAGAACGGTCTCATTCCTTGGAAAACTTGATATTATTTCCAATTTAGTACAAGTAGTTTAATACTACAAATCAATGCTAATTTTCAAAAACTGGTGATATAAAAAGAAATGTCTGGGGTTCTTAAAAATGCAAGGACGAAATCTGGTCAGTTTTTGACCTCATCTTTAATTTTAGATTAATATATACCTGTTGGCTTTACTAAAACGAAAAAACCTGCTAAAAGTGCCTCCAAATGGTTAAAATATCAACGTTTTTTCTTGGAAAGCCTTTATTGCTGTAATATATTTATATATGAGGAATTCGATTACATTTTTCTATATTCCATTAATTTTATTCAGTTTGTGTTAATGTACTACATAGATCTTTTACTCAACTTTTTTACCATTCATTATTCAAACTTTTTACTATTCACTGTCTCTGAACTTTCGTTGACGATCAAGCACACAATTCGTTTGTTCATAAACAACTTATGTAATAACTGTGAATACAATGCTACCAACAATTGTCCATCCAAGTGTAAGTAGACCACTTGTGGCGACAACTTAAAAAAATTACATAGAATCGAGTACCTAATTAGACTTAATAGTATTAGTACTTAAAAATACCTTTTGTTATCGGCAATTATTACTTGTATTGTGCGTAGTTAAATAATAGCTTGTTACAAGAAAAGGTGAGAGATAATTACGGATTAATCATTAAGAACATTGCTGTGACTGCAACTAATTTGGAAAGTGATATAAATTTGTTTGAAGGCGCCATGTTCTCGGTACCGCTTGAATTTCTCTTTTCTCTCAAAATATACCAATTAGATAAATATTGTTCTTAGTAATGAAAAAAAACTAGTTCTAGTTGAAATATTGTTTCGCAGAGTGTATTTTCTTTACTCCTTGCTATGTATCGAATAAATTGATCGATGCGAAGCCTCAGATCGGAGACAGAACTAAATTACTCTAATTGTAAATATTTTTTTAGTCCTCACGTACGTATTTAGTCACCCCTCTCATGTTAAACCATGAAATTTTTTTATAATTTTAATAAATTTTGGTATACCTTCGTCGAAAATATGTTATACAGTTACTTCTGTCGAATTGTTAAGTCTAAGACACAAATTCCACATAATTGCGAAACTAAAAATTTCTGGAGATTTTAATTTAGGCAAGGAATTGTTTATGTTAATCACGGCTGAATAATGAAATATGCACACACCTGTAGTGCGTATGCATATATTATTATTTCGTTATCAGTGTTACATCACTGTTATTTCCATTTTTAAATTCGGTGACAAATAGCTTTCATGAAAAATGTTCTTTTCCTTTAATCTAATTTTAAAACAATAGACAATAGTTTTCATTTTATTATTTAATTGTTTTATTTTTTGTCAGTATTAATTGACTTGAAATAACTAAGAATTTAATAACAGTTTCTGAACAAAAACCAGACGAATTTGAAGTGCTTCCAAAAATTAGTTACAATCACAGTGATAAGCACCATATTTTTTAAAGTTGATTCTAAACGATTTCATAGATTTATCACCGAGAAATTGCAATACTTAACACTATCTGCGCATCAAAATTTTCTGATTAGTATTAAAATTATTCCAAGATGTACTTATAACATTAAAAACCAAATTGCTTGCTTTCGCATCGTTCTAGTAATGATCAGGTTTTTGTTGAGATAGGAAATGATCTACTTACGGCAGATGGTCAATTACTGACAGTGTTGTAATCTATATAATCTCTGTTTTTGTTGCGAAAGTTGTTTAAAATTATTCCAAACTTGTTTTTGCGAATCTTGGAAAGTGAAACGCACAATAGATAGTTAATTTTATCAAAAATTATTATTATTTTTTTATCTAATTACGTAAGTATGAATCCAAACCATGAAGAAAAATTTTATCCGTTACTAGCAAATTATGATAAAAATGTATAATAACATAATAGAAAGATATAACTACGTTCAAACTTTCGAAGATGTAAGCCTTCTTCAAATTTGAATTAAAACAGTTTGCAGATTGGTTTTCTGAAGAAATTTTTACTGTTCTACTGCTCAAATAAGCAAAAAAACTCAATGGCAAGGTGTTCAAAGAAAAGGAAACGTATAGAAGAACAATGTGTGTCTTTATTTGATAAGATTTTTAGAATAATTTTAGAATTTATTTAAATTAGGTGAATATTTTAAAATAAAGTACCTAAACAGTATTAAGGATGTATTTAATTAATTTATTGATTAGAAAACATGACATCTGATTACAAACTTACATCTCGTAATTGAATAATAGTTATAATTTGCAAATTGCATAGTTCAGATAATGTATAATTAATAATAAAATGAAAATGCGAGTTTTAATATTAATTTACAATATTAAGCAAATGTTGCACACTTAATTAAATTAAATTAAATAATAATAAAATATACGAATTGCCTCTAAACTTTTACATTTCACAATTTCATTTGATGTATCATTAATGTTTATAGTTTCAAGAAACATATTTTTACGACTATTGCATAAAGGACTTTGTGGTAGAATTGAAAGTTTTTAGAACTCCAAAATGTTAACATCTGATAGAAATCGTAATTATCACATTCAAAAACAGGTTCAAGTCAGATTATTTCTATTAAAATTTCAAGTTATAATAGTTCTATGTATTTTATATACAGTTTCATATCATTTTGTTGAAATAAAACTATGCTGGTCGCTAACATTTGGAACATAGCAATGTACCCACTCTAATTAAAGTATGTGCGGGCGGAGCTGTCTCAGATGCAAACTTATTTGTGTAATATTAGAAGGATATATGCAGGTTACTATTACATTATGTAACAACAGGTATGTTCAAGTAGAACTACTTACCTTTTTCTATATCTTGGTACTTGTCGAAAGGCTTGAGGGTGTTTTCTTTGGTGAATCCGCCGAAAGCGTAAATAAGATGCGTACATAAGTAGGGGTTAATATTTTGCGGGTTAAATTTTGCTGCGCCCGGCCTGTATACGGACCAATTCGTGTAGTAGCAGACCACGCGCATCTCCTTCGAACCTGCAAAATAAAACAAAAGTCATATAGTGGAATGCAAAATATTATTCTCTAGCAGCATGACTAAAATACTGATGAATGCTGATTATTTTACACAAACGCACCTCTACGTTTGCTTTATTCGTATATGAATAATTGGGCCAATTAACGCGTATGTCCATATTTTAGAGTGACCGCTCGTGCATTTTGAAATGTGCAATCCGGATTGGAACAAGATCTCAACAAATAAATCACCAGTTTTGAATTCAAATGATTTTTTTCTTTGGGTGGGCATCATAACATTAGTTTATAAGGTTGCCATGAAGACCAAACGAAACGACTTAAAATCACTTGTGCCACAATAAGAGCAGCCCTTTACATTATCCAACGCGTTCGAAATGTATACCTTTGTTAAAAATGTCTCAAGCGGTTTAGAAATTAAAAATTTTAAGTTTTATTTTTTTTATTTTGAAAACCCTGCACCTCACAAATCAAAATTTTAGTCACAGAATACGACCATTAACTTTCTGCACGCCATTAGGTAACACCCTGTATAACTAGTTTCTATTATCCCATTATATTTCAAAACAAACTATAAGCTGTATACGTAGACAGACTGCCAAAGCAGTAATAATCATAAATTTTTGTTTATGCAAGTGTGGTACCGCTAATGTTTTTAAAATATCTACTTTTCAATTATTAAATCATGACAAAACTGCCTTGGAAATATTGTAGATTAGTTGTTAATGTAGAGACTGATCAAGGGTACAACTATTTATTAACAAATAGAATCAACAGATTGAATATTTCTCATTTATTATAACAGGATGTGAGTAAGTAGAATATTATCTTGCATTAAGAAACAAACAATTAAATATTATTGCATAAGTGCATTACTGACTTAAAAATTTATCATATATTTCTCTTCTAGAATTGAATTTCCTGTTATTAATATGATATATAGATGATTGAATTTCCTTTTAGTATGCCCAGGAAATTGCATAACATTAATTCGAGGGACAAATCGAACAGATAGAAAAAAATCTTTTGACATATATTTTTTTCGTCAAATAGTAGAACATTCTATTTGTAATACAATGATGGTAACATTTTGTACGTTTCAGTTGAATTTCTTTGTTATTTGCATATCATTAATATTTATTAAGCAAAAAATCTAATTTTTTACTTTTATTTAAAGGTCGTTCAAAAATCAGGTGAAACTTTTGCAACCATATTAAACATTCTTACCAATATAACTCCTTGGTTAAATGAAAAACAGATAGTTTTTGTCATAGATGTTACGTAAGAATACATTTTTGGGCTAAGCTAAATCGCACAAAAGATGCATTTAAAAATGTCGGTTTCACTGAAGTCACTGATACCCAGTAAACCCTAAATAGGTCTACTATTAAATTTTTGAAATCTTTTGTCTTTGTAGAAAACATTGCCTTGTTTTAGAAACTGATCATTTCTGAAAACACGAATGCCATTGTTTTTTGATAATTAAAAAAATGTTCCTAAAGTGACTCAGAGACGATTTTTTTATCACTTTTTTTTTCATGTTGGCTTAAAAATCAGACGATAATTTGCCTTCAAATTGTATTTTTTCTAGTCAAATCTGAAATTGTTACAATTTACAGTATACAATTATATCTCATTCACAATTAACCATTACATATTTGTATTTTTTAGGTTGGCAGACGACATGTTATAGATGCATCAGTTATGAAGTTAGATTTGCATCAAAAAATAATTTCATTTTCTACTAATTATTTATGCATCTGTGTTCCATTTTACACATTTCGAACTGTCGTAAACAAAACTAGCCGAGGTTAAATCAAGTTTTTTATTTTACAAAAAAAGGTGTGTCCAAAGGATTGCATAAATTTGCGGCTAATAGTTTAAATTCGGGTAGAGTCTTATAGTTAACCTTCAAAGTAGCAAATACATACATAATCAATGGACAATTCTAGACAATACCGACTAGGTTCATATCTTTAAATACTTCTGCTATATATCTGGAAGATATGTTTGTTAAAACTTGAGTGTTTCGTAATGAACTATTAATAATATAACAATTGTACCATCAAATATCAATGTGTCAATCCGATTTCACTAATTCTATTATAAAGGCAATAATGAAAATAAAGTTACCATTTATTATGACACTAATAGAAAATATTTATTTAAAAAGCGACATGGTTACAAAATTTTCTATTCTAGTTAGAATTAAATGTTACGTTAAGTGTCTTATATTAAGGGTTTGTTCCATATAGAAAATGACACACACCCATTATTATTTTTACTCCTAATGAACTTATGAGTATCTTAATGAATTATTATTTAAACTTTTATGGTTTCTGTGCGAATTTTTTTTAATGCAGCTGTGAGGTATTTGGTGGCTGATGACAATATGAGTTAACAAATTCTTTGAAAAGGTTAAGATAAAATGCAATTGTCTTTGTAATTGCCATTTCATCATTGAATCTGTGATTATCCTCCTCACTGGCTTCATATATTATCTTGTCGTCAGTAATAAATGTTAAATATCTCAAATTATTCTTGGCAGTTAATTAGTAATTTTTGCCAAGATACTGTACAGTTTCAAAGAACAATATTCTAATAATATAATAACTGACTTTCAGCAAAATAAGTATATTGATACATTTTTATACTTTTTTAAATTATCTAGGTACTTACTTGTAATCGTTGTCCATGTTGCCAATGAAATTAGCAAAAACAACCATCGACAGATGTCCGTCTGAAACAAAAAAAAATCATATTAAATTTATACGAAAATATAAGGATAGTGTTTGCATAAAAAAACGTTTAGTGTTTTGTCACTGAACACAATTAAAATCATAGATAACTATGTGTCAATATAAGTAAACGTTGTGTTTATTTTCACAAAAGTGTATTTATCTATTTCCTTAATTGAAGATATCAGAGTTACTAGTTAGCTTTCTATTTAGGAATTCTGCTCCGTTTTAGCCGTCATAATGTTAGTAAGGTTTTTAATATCCACTAAAAGTCTAAAATATACATTAAAGAGAAAGTGTTGAAAGATTTCAAGATTGTAATTAAATACATTAACAGGGTTATAATTTAAAAACATTAACATTTATTAAACACTGATATGTGCCTGTCTATATTTAATTTATTTCCATTATATAAGTCATTATTTCTTTAGTGTTGGATGCGTCGTATTTCCATTTTCAAGAACCTACCTTGGCTCAGTTGTAAAGAACCATTTCAGTGCAAAGAGAGAAGTAAAAGTGATATTATTAAAATCCTTTACTTCGATAGGCACAAAAATAATAACATCAAGTCTGTTATTATAATAATAATCTGGAGACCTATTAACAAATATGCAAAAGAGTTTGATGATTTAGTTTACTACAATTTTCATTATAATTTGTTTATGCATTACTTAAGTACAAATTTCGTCACTCCTTTTTAACTTTTATTCTCCACCATTCCTTCCTAAGTTTGTGAAATATGCAGATAATCCTAAACAATGGACTTATGAAAGTGTTATTGTTCTTTGTGATTATACAAAATGGTAACTGTTCTGAGCTTGCTACACAGTATTTCAAATCCAAGACATTTATTATCTAGAATGAATTAAACCATCAAACGTTAGTGGCATTATTTATCTCTTGTATCAAATATAAATTCCACTTAAAGTGTAGACATAAATAAAGATAATAGGCGTATTAGTGCATTTAATTTCAAAAGGTGGAAGAGTATTTCAGAGTAGTCTCAGTTCTATTTCATAAAATATTAATGCAGAATCCTGCATTTGATGTCAGAATACTACAATTATATTTCAAAAAAATAACCGATTTTCGGAAAACGTTACTTGCATTTCGAAAAATACCAAAATTATAGTTAAATGAAGTATTTTATATTTGTCTCATATGTTAACACAGTTAAAATTAAATCTTCAGTGAGGATTCCTGTCCTGATTTGCTATTGTTGAAATTATGTCCTTCAAGGCCAGTATTTTTTAAATTATTTTGATATTACGTGACATAGAGGTCATGCGACACATCCAAATTACAGATATTATTTTTGTTTTATGAAAGTTTAGATAAATACCTTTCAAGCCATTCGTGGACAGGCTTAGCTAGGTCAAGAGATTGTACGGAGTATTTCTTTATTGTAGTATAGAGAAAACAATATGTATTTATCCTACTTTTAGGTGCATATAAACTTCTTAGAACAAGTTCGTTTTATTAAAATGAAACAAAAAAATGCAACAGAAAAAGTATTTGCAATAAAGAAAGAGGTAAAATGTTGTTTATATGTGATAAACAATATTTTTAGAGGTGCCAATAACAATTTTTTTCAAAAGTACGACATCGAAAGTGTCTAACATCAGTACGCTTAAGCTTTAATAAATTTTAATACAGTATAGATGCATATCAGCATGTTACGTTATGAAAGGTTTTACTTTCTTTAATAAATTATATCTAATGTTTAACATTATTTATATTTATTTATAAATATCCACACAACGATGCGTATAATTATAGGAATTACCATATTAATTATCTTAATAATACGTCTATAAGCTTTGGAGGAAATATGACAAAGCGCTAATTAGTTTTTATTAAAACAGAAAATATATGTGAATGGTATTTAATTAATTTACTCACTAAATGAAAAGGAAAGCTCCAGATAGAGATTTAAATGATTATTGTGAGAAATTAATATTTTCATGCTGTTAGATGTCTTGTAAATGTTTCAAGGTAAGTAGGAACTAATAACTACAAAAACAAATATATCCTCAATTTTTCTCTCTTAGCGGGACTATATGATAATCTATTTTTTCTAATATGTAACTAATAATTTGTGGTTCAATCTAATCTTAACTTATTTCAAAAATTGTTATAGTATAGTCTTTCCGAAGTCAGTTGAACATATATATATATATATAAACACCTAGTAATAAAATTTTATGAGGTTCATAGCGTCCCTAAAAAAGTTTTCTACTAAAGGTATAAAATTTGATATAATGTGTAGAAAATTTCTATTACATGTTCATTTGGCCAACAACATATTAATTTATGTCCTCAATTTTCTTCATATAAATTATAAATTGTCCGTCGAATTACGTCTTTCGTCATGTCGTTGATATTTTTAAATTTTTGTTTTCGCTTCCTCTTTACCTTTACGCAATGATCTATAACACCTTGTTTAATTATACGAAAATTGTGGACACTGAAACTTTAGTTAATATGTGAATTCTATTTATAATTTCATTATCTCATTTTTCATTTTCTTCCTTTTTTAAACAATCGTAAATATTTAAAATGAGACGCTGACATTGGACATGTAAATATTTATTTTTAAATTCTAAATCTGTTTCATCAACAACCAGTTCTACTAATTCAATATTGTCTGACGGTATTGTTCCTTTTCAAAAGATCTCCAAAATGCCATGTAATAATATTTGTAAACAAAATATCCCTCTTATTTCTCCCTTTCGCAATTGTAATATGAATGATTAATACAAGGTGTCCATAATAAATTAAAATTACCTGAATCCCACCAAATTCCGCATTGCTGCACTGCACTGCTAGGTAATTCGTCGACAACTGAAATTTATTGCCCAGTCGCCCAGCCCGGCTGTGTTTGTTCGCCGTTTCCCCCCGCGCGCATTCTTTAACTGGGCGACTAGACCTGTATATGGGTATGGCTAAATAAATATGGGAACAAATTTTTCAAATATTTGGTCTTCAATTGAGATCGGAAAGACTATAACTGTTAAGTTAACCATACTGGTCATTAATACAACCAATCCCTTACATGTGGACTGTAGGATAATGTCACTCCAAACATGAGCTTGTTATTTTTATGTATCCAAGATTTCGATGTGAAAGGTGTGTCAGCTGAGTTATGTTAAAAGTTACAGCTACTTGAGTTAACCTCACCAAAGTGTTAAAAATATTGTAAAACAACGAGGTCGCTAGTTATAAATTGTGGGTAATACAGGATGACAACAACTACAACAACAATTTCTGTTACGGTGAGATCTACGTCCAAATCACTGTTCAATGATCTTAGCGTCATTTGCCGAGTCAGTCAGTTGCGTTGGGCCAATGTTTCGTCTTCATCGTTGTCTCGTATGATTTTCTATCTTCTAGATCTAGATAGAGGATATATAATATTATTTTTAAACTTTATACGTTATTGCTTGATATTTATTTATTTTTTTAGTCATGATTGTATATTTACGCCTAATGCTTGTTACAATTGCACTATGATGCATTGCAATCGACACTGGTCCATTGTCATTTGCAACAAATTACAGCATTATTATTATTATTTTTTGGAAAATACTTCTCATTCAACTTTCACCCGAAGCCAAATTTAGATTAGGTCTGATAAGATTCTTAAGACATTCTTTAAATAGGTTCCAAATTCCAAGATTGTCTAACTTTTGTTACAGTTGACACTTATTCCTCTTCTTAAATTATCTTATAACTAATACAAATTACTATTTTAGTCAGTCTTAGAATTATCAAATGATTGAAAGAGGTTTCTACCACATACCCAATATTTCTTATATACAGTGTGTCCCCGTATGGAAATAAGATAGTTAAAAACCGCGCCTTCTTATTTGCAAAATTATTAGGTACTGTTCTTTTTTGACTAAACCCCGTATTTAAGCATTTCTTGAGTTCTCGAACGAAACAAAAATTAAAAACACTTTCCTTAGGACAAATTTGACATTTTGATATATTTTGGACGCCCTGTATATTTAATAACATATTTGATTACTGCTCATGGCTTCCCAAGATAAGCAAAATTTTTTATCAAGAATACCTTTTTCTTGAAAAATCAACAATAAAAAAATAAAAAATGTAAGAATGCGCGTATTTCCCAATTTTGAATTTACCCCTGTATTTATTGAAGCTTTCGACGCACCTCTAGAAGAAACTATCTAGTTCACCTGTTTTGCAGAAAAGAACTTTCTCTGGCGGTTACGAAACTTGCATTCCGTGCCAGTCTGATCGACTTTGGCGGTGCAGATCTGGGGCTAATTATGTAACACTGAATTTTTAAATGTATTAATACAAATATTTTTATGTAATATGCCACCCATCTACACGGCAATCCTAACAACATTAGTAACAATAGTATTAAGTACTTACTATTAGTTGTTATATTTACTAGAATTGATACATTGTATTATAAACATCAAACATCGTTTTATGTTGTGATAATGAAAACAGAAACATTAGAGTAGATAAGTAGCTACATCATAATCGAGCTTTGAAATGTTTTCTCTTGTGTTATACGTGTTTTAAACAATGATAACTTTGTATTTTAAACATTATAACAGTATTACATTCAGGTATTCTTTAATTTTGAAGCATACTTTTTGTGCAAGTTATAAAAATAATATGGGGATTAATCTGTTATAATATTAATAACAATATTAATTTGGAGAATACTTATATTTCAAAAAACAGTATAAAGAGTAGGCGGTGAAATTCCTTCTAAAGGATATTATAGTTTTTTAAATGTCAGCTCTTGAAACATTGTTTTTCTAAATATCTCTGGAGATAAAATGATGAAATGTGGAATTAAGGGTGGTAAAAACGCAGGATGTGAATTGTGCGACATTTTCTCCCGTTACAGTAAACACGGAGAGTGTGTAGCTGAGATTATGTGCAAATTACGTGGAATTTTCGGTAGAAGGAATGAACCGAATGAAACAACTGTGAACAATTAGTTTTATAAAAAATT